CAAATAGAAAAAGATGCTAATTACACTAAGTCCAAATAGCAAGAGATGCTATTTACATCAATTTTAAATAGCACCAGATGGTATTTACTAAAATACAGCAACAAGAAGTATAGTAGGTGCTATTTCCACTTATAGAAAATAACCAATATACCTATAGATAATAACCTATAGAAAATAACCCAATACCATATGCTATTTACGCTTTTAGATGCTCTTGCAGTGTTACTAAAAGTATGAGGCTATATACACAAAATATAAAGCATACACTTTTACACTAAGACTTGTTATATTAACTACATTTTAATAAGGAGTTTATACCATTTACAATTAAAAGATGGTATTACACTACATATAAAAACAGTAGGCTAATGCTATTTACAGTACACCTAAGTGTTAAAAGATGGTTGATGCTATTTACACTAACTATAGCATAGCAGTATATGCTATTTAAACTAAATATTAGCAGAAGGTAGATGTATGATACTGTTTTAATAAAAGGGATATCTTTATACTAAGAGCTGAAAGAAAGGTACATAAATGTTGCACTACACCTACCTAATAAACAAACAAAAGGTGAGGTTTAAATGCAGGATCAGTTACTGTTGTATAATTTTCGATTCTTGAGAAGTCATCTATTAACAATGTTAATAATCTAATAACAATGTTAGGATGATATAATTAGTTCTAAGTGTACAAACATTATAATTAAAAATTAAATGTATATAGAAACAGACAGCACATTTTATTTTGTCATTCTTGCCATGAAAAGCATCATCAATTAGGCTAAAACAGCATTAACATAAAAAACGCACTTGTGCACTTTCCAATCTTCCAGCAAGTCTGTGTTTAATGTTTTTATTTTTATGCATTCATGTCTTTCTGCTGGGTGAATTCATTTCTTTTCTTGGTAGCACTTCACAATAACAGTACATGAATAACGACGTGTTAATATGTCAACTAAACTCATGAACTCTTTATGCATGTCCATCTAGCGTGTTTACACTGAATAACAATAGAAAACTGTTCTGTTGAAATTAACAGTTAAAACACAGAAGTTTATAAGGAGCTAAGGATGAGTTATTGGTGATGTGCCCCTCCAAGTAAAGTCATGACATAATTATACATTAACAACTCATAAGTTCATGTTGGTTAAATTTAGCATAAACTTAAATTTTAATGAATATATTAATTAACAACATGTACTAACAATTAAGGTGGCTGTTATTTACTCATGAGCTCTTGTGAATCATGTTGTAGTTAACGTTAGTACATGATTAGCACATACCTTAACTCAACTCATCATTAAATCATAATAAATTAATGTTCACATATTAATACATCTATATTCATGTACTGTTATTTTAAAGTGTTACCCTTTTCTTCTGCAGCAAGCGCTCTGGATTCTGGGAAAAACAATGCATTTGTTAATTAGTTGTCTCTACATATTAAGCTGCATTCAAACTTCCAACTAGGGCTGTGCAATTGGGGGAAAATATCTAATTGTGATTTATTTTATATATTTCTTTTTTATATTGACACTCATTTTATTTATTTTTTTATTGTAGATTGGACACTAATGTTGGCCTGACATTGGGTTTTGATGTCAACCCGATATTCATTTCCAAACAAAATGCAATGTCCCCACGGCATTGGGGTACATCGTCAATCTGGTGTCATGTTGGCGTCCTGTGCTTGCTGGGCATTTAAGGCCAATACAGCCATCATACAGTAAACATCTGTCATCGTCTTGTCAGTGATAAGCTTCAAAACAGTCTTTGGGTCAATGCGTGTAAAAATTTTGGACACTTCTAATGCTTCCAAGCAGTTTGCTACATTTATAAAGCACCCATGTCCTGAGGTAGTTCATTATGATGTGATTTTCTACAGGTATGTGTGATTTGATTAGACAGGAATCACAGGACGGATTTTCGTACTCAGCCAACCCCCACAAAAAAAAAAAAAAAAAAAGTAGTGACTGCAGGCTGAAGGAAAGTACACTCTTGTAAGAATTGAAACATTACAAATATTTTTTATGTCTTTGACAATTTAAAACATGAGCTGAAAACAGGGCCAATGGACTCCACAACCCACCAGGGGGGAATGCGGGAAAAACCAGTTCCTGCTGCATTTGCATCTGAGTATGCTGAAACTCAGCTTCATCCCCCCAACTCACGCATATGGTCATTTCAATGTTTGAATGTTCTAGATTAACCAATCTGACTTTAACTATCATGTTTGATATCATTTGAAATGTCTCAGTGCGATTGGTACAATGGTCTCATTCTCTCAGAAACAGACATAATCAACACAATAAATATATAACTTCAGGCATCTTTTGAACCACTGTGAAGGGTGTGACTTTTTCCTTTTGTTATACACACACACACCCTTCCTTGAGGGAATTCTTGGAAGGTCTGAGAAAGGTGCAGGGCGATTCTGCCTAACCAGATCAGCCCATAACATGGAGCCTGCTCCTAGTTATGTATATTTTTGAAGTCAGGTATGCATCTTTCATCTTGGATTTATCTTTGATAATTTGATGTTTTGTATTGATCATTTATGAATTGACTGATTGAATTGGCATAATACATTTACCTGACTAATAAATTGTAATGTTTGACCATATTTTGCTCACTCTGTAATTATTAATTCAAGTAGATTACGCTGTATCCTTGTTTCCGCACGTCTTGCTTCAGGTCAGTAGACGGACTAAAATCCAGTTGAGATGGAGCATTGGGCACACTAATTGTCTTTTAGGGATCCGGCTGACTCTTGATATTGATTCATGTGTACTTAGGTGGAAAGGGCGATAACTTCCGTCTAGGTCAACAAGGTGTTGCACGACTAACCTAGATTGGGCACCCGACCTTTGTTTGAAGGTAATATTATTCTAAATTAAGTTCATATGGGAAACCATGGGCTTGGTGAAAACCAAAGTTACTATAGAGTCCAGTAGTCGGGTACATTTACATTAATGCCCTAACCTCTAATTAGAAATGATGATTGTCTTAACTCAAAGGTGTACATCTAAGCGGGACTAACTAAAGTATTTTAGAACGAGCGCGCTGGTAGCGGCCATCTAAAGTATTAGTCAATTACCTCTGTTTAATATTCAAGACTGACCGGAGTGTGACTGTGAGGGACGCCTTCGGCCGAGGCGATTTCTCTGAGCGACATGAGCACCTGAATAAACGGATGTAATAGTTACTAGTGAAGACAAAAGGTTCAAACATTTATCTAAATTACATATTGATATAATCTTCTTAATGTTTTATGATTGGAGTCAGATAAAACAAGGATAAATATATTAATATTCTAAACCACCTCATACTAAAATTGGAGTCAGATATGAGCTAAGTTTAATATAAATCAACGTTGTGCACTGGAAAGACCGAACAGGCATTAAACCTTCATCCACCAGTGGACACCGGCATTGGGCCAACTGGGTGGACCTTACACTCTTAAAAGAAACGGTTCTATATAGAACCAAAAATGGTTCTATCAAGCGCTTCATATATGGAACCCCAAAAAGGTTCTAAATAAAAACATTTTAAGGGTTCATTACATAGAACCCCAAATGGTTCTTCGAATTCAAGTTAGATGGTTCTATTTAGAACCATTTAAGGGTTCTTTATTTAGGTAGCAGTGCAGCACTCGTGCCCGCACCGAGTCTGTGTACGCGCGGCAGGCCAGAGTCACTGTGGCAGGCTAGATTGACCATCAGGCCACCGGGAAAGGTCGCGGTTCTCCCTATGGCCAGTCCATCCCTGGATATTATTAAAACCTTTTAAAGCCAAACATATTTTAATAATCCATAGATGAAAGATCAGGTGTTATTTATAAAGGACACAAAAATGCAGGCTAAATGTATTTGAAATATTAAACCTTTAAGTATATATATATATATATATATATATATATATATATATATATATTGTGTGAATGATGAAGCTGTGGTGGACTTCTCCTTTCGAAAAATTAACCGTCACTCTCGAGGCTCTTCACCACCTGTCCACAACGATGATAATTAGTTACAACGATGATTAAATTAGTTTTAAATAAATTATTAAATCATAAAAACATAGTACTGCACAGTCTAAATAAGTAAACTGGTTATTTTATTTATTTCACAAAATAATTTTTTAAAAATGTTAAATATTAAGTATATATAAAATATAAGTTGTGCAAACCTAAATGAAAAAAATCTCACCATACTGTACACTGATAACGTTTTTGACCACAGCATTCATTTTATTAGGTTTTGACTCAAAAAGCTTTGTATATCTGTGTTATAGCTTATAATTATCTTATAATCTTTACTAGATAATTATGTTATGAATCAAAAACCATAGAACCATTTTAATCAAAAAGGTTCTTTGCACTCAAAGGGTTCTAAATGGAACCATTTTTTGGGTAAAAGGTTCTACTGGCCAAGTATAGAACCCCAAGGTTCTATATAGAACCTCTAGGAATCTTCTTTTTTTCAGTGTAGTGGAGTAAAAGTACCAATACTGCACTAAAATGTACTCAAAGAAAAGTAACAGAACACATTTTTAAAACTACTTACTAAATTATGATTTCTGAGAAAAACTACTCAACTACAGTAGTTTAAGTAATTGTAATTTGTTACTTTACATCACTACTTGCGAGCAGTTTCTTTTTAGTGATGCAAAAACAAAAGTGAGACATATTGAAAGGTGATTCTAACTTCTTATTTAAGCATCTTCGTTTGCTTTCATAGTTTCTTTTCCTCTTGGCTTAGCTACACCCCTTCAGGATGTGAGGGATATTTCATTTTTCTTGATTCAATTCCTCTTTTCTCGCATCCTTAGGAAAGGAAGCTTGGAACGAAACAAGAAAAAATTAAAAAGCGCCTGTCAATGTTCTGGAACAACTAGCTTATCGATAACCCTAAAACTAACAGATCAAAAATCAATTTGATCTCAGGATGATAAAACATGCACACACCAGTTTTAAAATGGACTTTGAAAGTCGGCTGCTCAATAATAAACTGTAGAGATCTATTTAATTCACTTAGGGCAAATAAAAGACAGTAAAACATCAATCTCATTTTTGATGATAATGGGGCCTGGATGAATGTTCTCTTTGCTGTAGTGACAGGCCGTCATTTGCCACACATCCAAGATATAAACACCCACATCCTGAAAAGCCCAACGCAGAACTCTGTTTAGCTGCAGAGAATACCAGTCACTGCCGAAAATATCCTGTTATAAAGACAGACAAAAAAAAATCTATATTCAATCAATATCATAAACCTGCAACCAGCCATTTTGATGGTGTATAAAACCAAACCAAGTTGCCGGAGATTAGTTGTCGTCCTGATTAGTTTTGCTAATTAAACACACCTGAACCACCTAATTAAGGTCTTACTAGATATACTAGAAGCTTCCAGAGGTAAGATGGAGCTAAACTCTGCAGAACAGTGACCCACCAGGACTGTTGAAAGTTACCTTATATCCAGTGTTTACAGTCTTGATGATAACAGTAGTATCAGGCGCTCGCTGTAAAAGTGCAAGAACAGCTTTGCGAATCCTCAACACCCGAAGAGTGAAGAAATCCAGAGGGTACGTGGTGAAATGGGGTCCCAGATTGAGCATGATGATTGTGTGAGGGCCTCCAGCCAGGTCATCAATCTCATTACTGATATAATGCAAACTAGCCACCGCTGTCTTCAAAGTGCGAAGAGGAAGACCGTGAGCCCTCCAGTGTAAGTCAATGTTGTTTTCCACATCAACTGCCATGAGCGGCCCGGTTTGATATCGGACATGGAGGTTCATCTGCTTCAGGGCTGAAAAACAGTGAGTGACATCAACATTTATGATCTTACTATTACTGATTGTGTAGCATGTCAACTCTCTGTCTCACTTGGTATTGTTTTCACAAAGAACTCAAACCACTGTCTCATAGTTGAGTCTCCCATCATGTAGATGTGTTTGTCCTTCAGGCACTTGGTTGTGGTTTGGGGTGTAAACTGGCTGGTGTTGCAGACAAATGATGTCCACACGTCATGTAGGAAAAAGCCAGCTGGTACTGGGGTGTGCAAACCAGGTCGACATTTCTCTGTAAAATCAAACGGGTGAGTATTTGTCAATAGCAAACTGTCAATAACGAATAATGTAAATAAGTGACTTCTTTGGAAACCAGCAGACAAAAAATAATTATAGGTTTGGCACAATTTGAGGGTCAGTAAAAGATGACATACCAATGGTTTTATTTCCATGAGAATGAAGAATTTTGATGATTCTCTTATCTCCCCTGATAGCTTTGTTACTTTTCTGGCTGGCAAAGAAAATGTTTTTATCTGTCATGCTGACTCCAAATCAGTGATTAAAAAACTTGAAGTATACATTCAATAGAACGTGTTTTAATGGAGCTCACCAAAAAATTGAAAATATGCTGTTAAATAATATTCAGGCCATTTAAGACGACAGTGACTTTGAACCAAAAAAAAAAAACAAGCAGCACTAATTTAATATATTGATCATACAATGACATCTTATGAAGCAAAGTGATCAGGGATTTTATTTTCTTTTGTCCAATCCTGTCTCATAATGAGATATACAGGGTGAGCTTACAATTTGTATGTTTAAATATGAGATGTATTGTTCTTCAGATTGGTACTCAGGCTTATCATTTATCATTGCTTATGCTGCAATAAAAGTTGCAATAAACAAACGGCATCAGTGTGAGTTTGCATCAGCAAACAAGTCATTATGCAACAGAAAATGTGTGCTTCAGTCTGTCATGGATGCAAACTGGACTGTTTAACAAGAATGTGAATTAAAATCAATAACATGACAATGAGTTGCATTTTTTGAAGAAAAGACGTTACATTTTAGATGGCCTGAGGGGGAGTAAATTAACAGCAATTTTTCTTTTTTTTTGGTGAACTACCATTTAATCTCACATTAGTGTTTGCTCCAGTTTTTTCAGTCTGTTTCTGTAAGACCCCAAGGAGTGGTAGACGAGGGCACTGCATGGCAGAGATTTGGGTTTCTTGCAGCGCCATGTTTCTCTGGTACGAAGATCGCTGTATTCACAACAGCAGTTTTTGGTTCCTAATCGCTCTAATCCATTCTTGTCCCACTTCACATTACACTCCACAACTTCACTCAGCCTGGTTTTATTTGGTCCCGGAGCCTCATAATATCCATTATAGGACACTCTGTCTGAGTCAGTATCTCTGTGATGCTTCAAGACTTGCACAGCTTCACTAGAGTGAATTAAACGCACAGCAACCTGAGCCTGTCCGACCCAAGGCAGGAGGAAACGCACAGAGTAGGAGCCATTGAGCAGGTCCACCACCTCCCCAAAAACACTGGCCTGTGACAGAGGAACATTCTCAATAGAAAGCCCATTCACACGGTATTATTGCACAATGCAAATTGGTTGTACTTTACTTTAAAAGAAACCCAGGGTATTACAACATGCTTGGCTACACAGTCCCAGTTAAAGAGTTTTTTCTTCCCAATTATAACGCACACTGATGAGGCAAAACCTTATGACCATCTGCCTAATACACTGTTGATCCTTCACATGCTGGCAAAAGAGTCAAGCCATGGACTCTTCAAGATCTCTAAAGGTGTCCTGTACTTTGTGGCACTAAGAAGGTAACAGTAGATCCTTCAGGTTGCGAGGTGTATATTGGAATAAGTAAATGGAAAAGTGTGTGGGTGTTCCCCAGCATTGAGGGTTTAACAATTTAGCAGGATTGCAACAGGAAAGGCATCCAGTGGTAAAACATGTGCCAGAGTAAATGGCAGACCACTTCGCTGTGGTGATACATGAAAAAGAAGGGAATAAGCAGAAGGAAAGTCAGTGTCCACTTGAATGTCTGAACATGGTTTCCAAGCAGAAATTGACCCAGAGCAAAACACTCTCATTCTGGCTAAACAGCACGAAAAACGCACCACCATCCTTGTGATGTTAAAGAAAACAGGACTCTTTGGAGTAGACAGCCTAATTCTACTTTTCCAGCTCCACTGCTCACCTCCAATTGGTAGAGCACAGGGATCATCACAGTTGGCCCACAGCTACGCAGTCTGATACACAGTCAAGTCAAATCACCTTTATTTCTGTAGCCCTTTTTGTATACAATTTATATTGTGTCAAAACTAAAAGCTGCACAACCATGTACAGCAAGTAAAAGTCAGGTAACAAAAATTAATAATTGTGAAGGGCAACTCCAATGACCCCAACCAATCAAGGCAAAAGGAAACAGTGGTAAAGAACCAAAACTCAAAAATGGAGGAAAAACCTTGGTAGAAACCAATGGCTAGATGGACAATAGACAGATTTGCAGTCTAGACGGCACAATAAGTGTCCATCATGGTAAATGTTCACGTCCAAGTAGGTCGCAGGTGAGTGCACTGACTAGCCAAAGGAAGCTACTCTACATACAGTTACCAAGAACTTTGCTGAGAAGTGTGATCCTTAAATCCTTATCATTATTTTTATTTTTTTGTGGCTTCCAACACATTACACCATCTGTTGGCTCAGACCAGAAGACATAGTTTTCATTGCTCTTGTGCATTGATGAGCCTTGATGGGTCACTGAATACCATGTCGCCAGCTTGTGTTTTATTGCTCTTTATGACCACTGCTGATTGGAAGCCTTGCAGTTTCAGACAAACTGAAGTTTGACATACAATAAAAATCTGGCAGCTACAAATCACCTCCATTTCTCAAACAAATGGAGATATTGATAGCTAGAACTGTTTTAGCTTCCCTTCTATATATATATATATATATATATATATATATATATATATATATATTTATACATACATACACATATGTATATATACATACATACACATATGTATATGTATATTACGTGTATCTATATATATACATATATATATATATATATATATATATATATACATACATATATATATATATATATATATATATATATATATATATATATATATATATATATATATATATATATTCACTTTAGCTGTGACTGGTCATAATGTTTTGGCCCACCAATGTATATGTGGATGCTTAAAGAAAAAATATTCAGACAGGAAAACCAAGTTTTTTGATTAAAGTTAAGATGGATACATTCATTTAAATAATGATGTGCTTGCATATATGTTACCCTGGACCACCAATCCAGTCATAACTTTTCAGTTTCAGGAAATTTGAGACAATTTTTAGGAAATTTGAGATTTACACATCATTTGAAAATATAGGCTTTCCATATGGTCATCAACAAGTTAGAATAATATTTGGCCAAGATACAACTTTTTGGAAATCTGTATCAGTGTTCAAAAAAATCTAAATCCCAAGAAAAGTTAAAATTACTCACCAAAATTTAGTTCTGATACATTTACAGTAGGAAATGTACAAAATATATTCATGAAACATCATCTTTACTTTATATATATATATATATATATATATATATATATATATATATATATATATATATATATATATATATATATATATACATACACACACATATATACATATATATATATATATTTTTTTGTATAAAATTTAATAATTGTTGTCCCATACAATGTAATTTTGGTAATTTCCAAAAATAGACCCTAAACTGGTTTAATGGTCCAGGTTCACAATTCATGCATAAAAATGCTGCAACTTTACCAAATGAGAACAATCACTGACCTTAGATCTAGACCAGAATAACTTGGCTTGAAAAAAGTCTCCCCCATATCTTTTTAACCTTTTTTTGAAATCCTTTGCATGCACCATAACGAACAGTTCCTCACCAGTTTGGTAGCTCTCTTTCAGATTCTGAATGGTGAATTTGGTGTGCTCTGGACTAGAACTCTTTAATAAACTTGTAGTTCGTCTATGAGGCCCGGGCCAGTAAACAGCCTCCTGCAACATATAGTAACTCTGCGAACTGATTCCAAATTCTGACTGAAAAAAGCTTCTTAGTGAATGAGACCCCGCAGAATCATCAGAGGTTGAAGAGTTGTGGAGCTCTGCAAAGTGCCGAGAAAAAGAGCTGATTGGAGGGTGTTTCTGATTATCATTGACTATATAGGACCATTCCACCTAAAAATAAACAATAGGTGATTATTAATCAACATGATCATGATTTTACTGTTGTTTATAGGCAATAGTTCACACCAATTTTTAGTGGAATCAAAAGCCATAAAAGTCAGAAAGTAATATTTGTTAGTAAGGCAGATCAGTTTTTATGTGTATCTATTAATTAATCATGATTATAAAATATTTCATAAATTTTATTGAGTGTGAATTCGAACCGAATAACTTCTGCAATTTCACATATTCTCGATTTATAAACAGTGTAGATTCAAATTAAGTAATAGTATATTTTCTGAACTTGAGTGTGGTTATAGGCAGCATGGTGGTGTAGTGGGTAGCGCTCTCGCCTCACAGCAGAAGGTCGCTGGTTCGAGCCTTGGCTGGGTCAGTTGGCATTTCTGTGTGGAGTTTGCATGTACTCCCCGTGTTCGCTTGGGTTTCCCCCACAGTCCAAAGACATGTGCTATAGGTTAATTGGGTAAAGCTAAAATTGTCTGTAGTGTGTGTGAATGGAAGTGTATGGGTGTTTCCCAGTGATGGATTGCGGCTGGAAGGGCATCCGTTGCATAAAACATATGCTGGATAAGTTGGGGGTTCATTCCACTAAGGCAACCCCACATTAATAACGGGACTTATTATGGTACATTTTTTTTGAGTGTGCATGTCATGCTAGAACAGGGGTGCCAAACTCAGTTCCTGGAGTGCCACAGCCCAGCACAGTTTAGTTCCAACACAACTCCAACACACTGGCTGTTTCTCAATTTGCGTTCATCAGCAATCTTGCGTCCGTAGATGTGATGTTGACAACACAAAACAAGTAGTTTTTTTTTTTTTTCTTGGTGGGTCAAAGCAAATGAGAAGCCATATGCTGCCATTATACAGATTTGTCAAAGGTCTACAAATTATTTAGAAAAAAAAATATATATATATGAAATAAAAAATAAATATAAAAATAATTTATATGTTTCATACACTGACTGTGTCTCATGTTCAATTTTATGATTGAGATAAAGTTGCTTTTATATTCGCACATTCATTCAGAGACAACTTGTGATGCTCCCTATATTGTTTTACCACTGTGCTTTGAATGTTGGGTCTGAAATCACATGTACTGTAAGTTGGACTTGAAAACAGCAATCGCACTATTTGTTCACTTTATCTAACAGGGAAATGCTATAGGACCAACACAGATAAGAAGCTGGTATAGCAACAACCTGTAAATGTATCATTTCATGAACTCACCAGAAAACTTATGGTTACTAGCAGAGGGAGCCCAATAAACTTGCATGAACATGATCTTTGCCCGAGAACTGTAAAAGCAATGTTACAATATGGTTATGGGCAAACTGTTCTACATTTGGAATCTGTACTAGATACTTTTGTGTTTATATGGGCTACATTTGTTTAAGCAGACTATATATCGTTATTGTATGGACAATATTGTCAGCAAACAAAATTCTGTTATTCAGAGATAACTTACAGTATTTCTCCTGCGCTTCCGTTTTATTTTCTGAAGGCATGCTTTTGAAAAAGCCAAAGACGGTTGTTGTTGGTTCTTTCTTTTTTCGCGACTTTTTCCTACGGAGCACCTGAAGGGACTTTTGCACGAATAAAAATACACAGACTTGTGTGAGTCTGAGAATCTTTTAATATTAATAATACATTTCAGATAAATCAGAAATATAATCAGACTAAGGTATTGTTTTAGATGTGTTAGAACAAATAATGACATAAAAAGTCATGCATTTTGACAAAGTTACTAACAAACTATTAAGTAATGTTTTACTTTGACTCTTGTAGAAAGTGAACTATCTGTTCTCATAAAATTATTGAACGCAGGATCGTTCAAATAAATGAATAGGAATTCTCTGCCGAAACAAGATTGCATAACTGAATTGAAGCATATGAAATATGGAGGACGAATCCTGGAAAAACTATTTAAAAATGTACAAATATACAGAGTAAATGCAGCCATATAATTCCTGCATAAATAAAACAATAAATAAATAAATATGCAAACAAATAATGTATATAAAAATCCACAAATTTTATAAATAAATTTATAAATAATTAAAAGCGGGCAGGTAAATAATTATAAATCATCATAAGGCGGTCTTTATGCCATCACTGGTTGATCGTTATAAAAATGCATTCAATTTATATATATATATATATATATTGGCAGGCTTTTGATGGTAATTTAATGATTTAACTGTCCGCATTATTTGTTAATCTTTTGTTTTATTTATGCAGGAATTTATGAATTTATCTACTCATGTTCATAAATAAATAAATAGGAATTCACTGCCGAAACATGCATTAATGAAATCTGCTGATAAATCTCGGCTCATTTAAATAATTGTAATGCTATTTATCGAGCTGTTTTTTATTATAGGCTATTCACTGTATTTGTTCTGGTAAGACATGAATAATGGGATCAAATTCTCAAGACACGTTATAAATAAAGTATAGACCAATTTACTGACAAAAGACCCGATCATGTTATGCTTGAATGTCTACCCTTACGAAATATTAACACAAGAAATACCTAATAGAGGCAACAACCCAAAAAACACATCTACGTTGTAGCGATGTCTGCACAACGTTGTATTTTTTTTTTCAAAGACAACGTTGCCGCTGTGCTCGCTACATTGTCACAACGTAGAAGGCTGTAGTTGTGTGACATTCAGCAACCGCGGGACGGCGTTCTTACTACTTGTATTAATATTTTTTGTTTCAGTTTATCAATACTGCCTACAATACAGGATAAGCAGTCATTCTTTTCCAGTATTGCTAAATATTAAATATTGTTAATTTGTTTCCGTTTTTAATTTAACAACTGGCCCGAGTGTTTTTTGCTATCTGGGATGTGTTAACGTTGTGAACACCCTGTTCCAAAGTCCCGTTTTATTTGCATTTTTAAAGGCAAATTTTTGAAAGTGTGTAACTGCAATGATGGTCTTGTGTTTGTGCGTTTCAGTTCTTTTCACAACTGTGTTCTGGCCCTGCTTTTTTCCACTTCAGATTTCTTCCACTATGCTGTTCCAGCTCTTTGTGCGAACAACAGTGGAGCAGTAAGCGAGGCCGTGGTTCATGATTAGGGCTAGTTCACGTGACGTTCCTTTATTTGTTGACATAGTGAGGTGGATATCGTCGCTCACAGATTTCACTCAAATGCAGGAATAGCTCTAAAAACATCTTTTAACACAGTTCCCAAACCTTTCCTCTTGTCTTTTATTAACATAATGTAGCCTTCACCTGCTCCAAATCTACATTCAGACGGACTTTGTTTCATTGATTTTGCGGGGTTATTTTTGAGAGCGAAATTTGGTTTTGCTACACAAAATGGGTAATCTATTACATTTAACCTGTAGTATAGCTCGAAGGTTACAGGATGCCATATTTTTATATGATGATATATGATAAATGTTGATTTTTGCTGTTTGGTTTTTATTCATTCGTTCATTTTCTTTTCGTCCCTTTATTTGGAGTCACCACAGTGGAATGAATAACTAGCTTATCTATCATATGTTTTTACGCAGAGGATGCCCTATCAGCTGCAAACCATCACTGGGAAACACCCATACACTTTCATTTACTCACATACAATACGGACAATTTTAGCTTACCCAATTCACCTATAGCGCAATGTCTTTGGACTGTGGGGGAAACCAGAACACCCGTAGGAAACCCACGCAAACATGGGGAGAACATGCATACTTCACACAGAAACGCCAATTGACTCAGCTGAGGCTCGAACCAGCGACCTTCTTGCTATGAGGTGAGAGTACTACCCACTGCGCCACCATGCTGTCCTGTTTGCTTTTTATGTATTACAATAATACTAATCAGGAAATGACAGGAATTTAAAGCTATAAACACATTTTGATAGATTTATGGCAACTATGGAAGTGCGGCATGAATAACTAATTTTTATTATGTCATATTTGTCATTTATCACTTGAATATGTGCTGTTTTGAATTTACTAAACAACATTTTTAGGTATGTAAACAATAACAATGGTCCTAACCTATTTCCTGTATTACATTTTTAATTTCCAAAACTTCAAAGAATCCAAAAAGGTCCACATTTTGACAAATAATTTTATGACAATGTTTTAATGTTAAGATATGGTTCAATTGCCTCTTGTTACAGTTGTAAAATAGTTTGACAACAAAAAGGAAATGTTTATGGTTCTGTGACATCGCCACATTGAAATGGTCTATAAAGGAACTGATTCTCAGTTCTCAGAGTAGATTCAGTAGCCTATTTTTTTGTGGCACCAGCAAATGTTGTCTTGAAATGCGAATCCCGAACATTTACTTAATATTCTCACTGCAGTGAAGTGTTGCGTTTAGAATTTATGCAATTAGAATGCTGTCAATATTCATCTCCTAGGATGAAATAGTACAGAAATAGCATCATATTTTCCTTTTCAGAATTGAACTGATTCAGTTTTAATTGAACTGGAACCAGCATTCTACCACTGCTTTCCTGCCTGCCTGATTTGCTGGTATGTCCCATATTCTTAAATGTTCTGTGATATGTAGTGTTTTATTTAACTATTATTCTCATTTTTATATGTTAAGCTGCTTTAACACAATATATGTTGTAAAAGCACATTACAAATGAAGGTGAATTGAATCGAGTTTAAGCCTGCTATTGACAACCCTGGATAAAATTTTTAAACCAGTTAGTAAATACAGAATCAAAGTCAAAAATTGGACATGAACAGCTGTATTTATTACTGGAAAGCTACTGTATAAGAAAATTGGGTTTTCAAGTGAGACACACCAAAAACTTTTCATGTTGAAGGAATTGCTAAAAAAAATAAAAATAAATAACAGTAGCTACATCACTATGTTTTGTCTTTTAGTAATTTTAACAATTTTATATCTTTAAAATAGTGTAATTAAAACAGAGGAAACAGTCAATGTCTGATAATTGACTGACACTATACAATCTATTATACTGTTTAAATGGAATATATAACAAGACTCAATGAAATAAGAATAACCAAATTTCTAACAGGACATGACATAAAATGACACGTCCCTGTTTTAATTTGTTTTCTTTTCTCATGATTTTTGCTCTAGACAGCTGCTGTCCATGCTGTGTTCTGTTGTAAACACGATTTCTTGTAAATCACATGACTTCATGACCATGACTTTTTTGCCAAATTTTCCCTTTTTTAAGTATCAAAGCCAAGTTTGATGAAGGTGGGAAATAGCTTACTCTTTTCTCAGTCTGTGGATAGCAGACATACTAATGGAATAATAAACAACTGCAAGCTAATAAAATCAAGATGATCTATCATCTGTTTTTTGTGGTTTTTGGTATTTATGTGGTGGATGCACAGAAACCCACGTAAGTATTAGACTTGTTTACTAGTTACTTTTTTCCAATTTGATTTGCAGAATTTGTTTAATTACAGCATGTTCTCTTCTATCATTATTTGTGCTGTTATGTTTTATGTGTCTCTGTGTGTGTGTGTGTGTGTGTGTGTACTTTGTATTCTTTACATTGTGAGGACCAAATGTCCCCAAGAAAAGCAGTACCAGTCCATTTTGACCTTTTTTTCTGTCCCAATGAGGAAAACAGCTCATAAATCACACAGTATAAAGTATTTTGGAAATGTAAAAATGCAGATTGTTTCCTGTTAAGATTGGGTTTATGATAGGGTTGATGTGGGGGCACAGAATCTTCAGTTTGTACAGTATCATTATGTATATGGGAAGTGCCCATCAAGATGATTTGAAAACCCCAAAAAAGTTGATTTAAGTCTGATTGAGTAAACTCGTTTCCTCAGTTTAATTTAGTAATGGGTTCTACCAAAACATAGGCCTACATATTTAATTTTAATCAACTTGGTGCATTTGCAGCATGTACTTAAACTTTTGAGTAATGGGGTCTCCCAAAACTCACTTAAGTATGTTGAACTTGGTGCATTTAAAAATTGTATGAAGACATATGAAGTTTAAAATTATCTGATGTTAACTTGCCTCTGAAATTGATTTTTAATTAACCTTAAATTATTTTTTTACATTTTATTTTATTTTAGTACAATTAATTCTTAATTATAAAGTTTTTTTTTTGTCTGACAGCATTATGCATACCAAATAGAAATAAGCGATGTACTGCACATTTAACTATTTTATTAATTAAAGTTAAAATGTGTGCATTTATATACCACAGATGCCTTATTGTTGCTCCAAATGTAATTCACCTGGGAGTGGAAGAGACTGTGGGTGTACAGCTTCATGGAGCCACTAAAGAAATAAGAATGAAACTGTACTTCGAAAAACAGAAAGAATCAGAAATTCTGTCAGAAATAAGATCTATAATCCTCAATGAAAACAATAACTACCAGGCTGTGGTAAAACTCAAGGTAAGTTTTTTCACTTTAAATTTTCAAATGTGTTTCTCCAGAGTAAACTGCAAAAGGCTTTTCTAACCCATGTACTGTAGGTTGATGCTACCATGTATGGGGATGTTGAAAAAAATTCATATGTTCAACTTGCTGCCATAAGCAATGATATCTTTGAGAAACAGGATGCCAGAAAAGCCAACATCTATTTGTCAACAAAACGGGGTTACATATTTGTCCAAACCGACAAGCCAATTTATAATCCAGGAGAAAACGGTATAACGGCACACTTTCTTCCTACAGTTTTTGTTTTTGCTTATCAGTACTAAATCTGACCACTGAAATGTAGTTTCTTGTTTTGTTTTTCAGTCAAATACAGAATCTTCATTCTAGACAACTACATGCTCCCCATACAAGATGAACTCCATGTTCAAATAACCGTAAGTTGTTATTTGTCTTGATAAAATGCAATTAGCATGCAACATGACATAAAATTAATATGCAGTTTTCTTTTTCTTTTGACAGAACTCCAAAGGCTTGATTGTTTACAATCGTGTTTTGATTATTAACCAAATCTTGGATAAAACTATCACTATACCAGAAGTTGAACAGTAAGTCAACAACATGGGCACTAATTAAACAATAATACTAGATATAGTGTTTTTTTATTATTAAAGCTGTGATTGTAGAAATCAAATATGCAATATAATATGCATCATAAAATAATTTCACGATAGGAAGCATTGTATTCTAAGAAAGGGTTGGCCTTTTAATGAATCTCAGTGATATTTCATGCAATTTTTATTAATCCTTCAGAACAGGCAAATGGAAAATCATTACGTCATTTCATAAATTCCCAGAATCGACCACAACAGTGGAGTTTGAGGTCAAAGAATATGGTAGGTGTCATCCGACTATTCAAAGAGTTCTTAATTATTTAATCTGTCAGAATAACCCCCTGAAATGCTGTTTCACAGTTTTGCCCACATTTGAGGTGAAGATTGAGGCTTCACAGCCTTATCATATTTTGATGAGCGAGTCCTTTCCCTTCAACATTTCTGCTAGGTTTGTTCAGTATACTGTCACGTTTAGATTGGGTTGGTTGTTGAATTAAGGTTTTGTGATCTAACCCATCAGTCTTTGGTGTTTTCAGATATACTTATGGAAAGGGGGTCAATGGGATTGCATATGTTCGATTTGGACTTGTTGATGAAAAGCACAATAAGATATATCTTCCAGGCACTGAAAAGCAGATAACTGTGAGTAAAAAATTGCAGTAAAATGTTTGTGATAACAAAAAAAAAAAAAGAAATGTACTTGTCAGAATCTGATGTGTTTTATTTGACATTCTGCTGTTTTGTAGGTAGAGGACGGCACTGCAGGAACAGCAGTACTTACTAAAGACTTAAAAACAGCATCACAAAATATCACTCAAGGCTATATAGAAGGATATTATATTTATATTGCGGTCTCAGTTTTGGACAAAGCAAGTAAGTCATAATTGAATTTTTTTTGTAGATCAAAAAGTGCATGCAGCTAATCAGAAATTTACAATTAACAATTACAATTAGCATAAACATTTTATTTTTATTTTTGTTTTATTTTTGCTTATTTTATTTAAATTTTGACTTTTTTTTAGGTTTAGCTGTGTGGCAAATATCTGTTTTTTAATCAATGTATTAAATAATTATTTTATTTAATTTTTCGGCTTTAGAGCTTTACTTTTTTCTTTTTATTAATCACTAAATCTTATCCAAGAAGACCTTAGCATTTATCATGTAAATGTATTTTGTCTCCAAAAAACACAAGTGGCATAAAGTTGTAACTGTAACTTTAGTGTTAAAATCCTTAAAGTTATTGAATATTTGGCTGCTACTTTCAGATAACTCATGGTAAAGAAATCTATGCCAGTGAAAGTGGAAAATAATAGCAATACACTACAGTGTGAGAGCACTGTGAGAGCAACCAATAATAACTTGACTTCTAGTTGATCATTTGGAAAAGTGGCAGAAGGTTGATTTTTCTGATTAATTATTTGTTGAACTGCATCAAAAACATCACAAATACTGCAGAAGACCTATTGGAGCCCACATGGGCCCAATATACACATAGAAATCAGTCAAGTTTGTTGAAGAAAAAAAATCATGGTTTGTGGTTGGTTATGGGGGCGTGCAAGAGATCTGCAGAGTGGATGGCAACATCAACTTTCTGAGGTATCTAGACATTTGTGGTACCCATTATAAACCATGGGAGACTCCTTCTCATACTTCAGCCTCCACATAAAAGTCACCAGATATGAACATTATTGAGCATGTCTGGGATACGACGAAGTAGGCATTTAAGATGAATCCAAAGAATCTTGATGAACTCTGGGAGTCCTGCAAGAACCCTTTCTTTGCCATTCCAGATGACTTTATTACTAAGTTATTTGAGTCATTGCAGAGATGTATTGATGCAGTCCTCCAAGCTCATGGGAGTCATCCCATCTGTTAAGTGACAAGAAATTTGTCTCAGCAAAGTCTGACCTTAATGTCCTAATTAAACATTAAGGCATGATCATATTTTATTTTGGTAAAATAAGCCTAATATGTAAGACTTTGCCTTTCATATAAGCCACTTCTAATGCTAAATGATCAACTAGAAGTCAAGTTATTATTTGTTGTTCCTAAAACCTGAACAGGCAACAAGACTTTTGTCAGGTAGTGTATATCAAAGTTTTGACATTAATCTTTTGTCCTTCAAGGATGTATTAGCAGTGTCACACATGGAGTAACGATCAAACATGTTCATACAGTATTCATCCTAATTTTATACAGGTGGCATGCTGGAGGAAGCCGAGAGTTCCTCTGTGAAGATTGTGACATCTCCATATGTTGTTGATCTGTCAAAAACCAAGACGTATTTCACCCCTGGTGGTGTATTTTCTGTTTTGGTATGTGGCCTGAACTGTCTTTTCTTGTTATACCTCTAAATATTAACATTAATGTGTTTAAATGTGGCGAAGCAGTGGCGCAGTAGGTAGTTCTGTTGCCTCACAGCAAGAAGGTCGCTGGTTCGAACCACGGCTCAGTTGGCGTTTCTGTGTGGAGTTTGCATGTTCTCCCTGCGTTCGTGTGGGTTTCCTCTAGGTGCTCCGGTTTCCCCCACAGTCCAAAGACATGCGGTACAGGTGAATTGGGAAGGCTAAATCCGTAGTGTATGCGTGTATGTGTGTGTATGTTTCCCAGAGATGGGTTGCGGCTGGAAGGGCATCTGCTGCGTAAAAACCTGCTGGATAAGTTGGCGGTTCATTCCGCTGTGGTGACCCCGGATTAATAGAGTGATTAAGCCGACAAGAAAATGAATGAATGAATGTTTAAATGTATGCTAGTACCACATCTGCACTTTTGCATCATTTTTTGCAGGCTACTGCAACTTATCCAGATGGAAACAGAGCCCCGAACTTGAAATTTACAGCCACCATAACAATTGATGGATCATCAGAGCAGATTCTGCAAAACGAAAGCTGGGGAAATGAAATGGGAGATGTTGCCATGTCTTTTCAAATTCCACCACAGGCTAAGAACTTAGCTATAACAGTAAGCTTTATGTGTCTCTTGTATTGACCAATCGGTATTAAAGATCGAAGCTGTCAGCTTTTCTAACTAATATTTTCGCAGGTATTTGCTGAAGGTGGAGACCAAGTCGTAATTCGTAGTGATAATAAGATGACTGCCAGTGCAATAACAGCTGAAGAACAGAGCTATCTGAGTTTGGAAGTAGAGAAACAGTTCTTACAAGCTGGTGAGGACTTGAAAGCCAGATTGCGGGACATCACCCCTGAGGGTGCAGCCAAACCGACTTTCTTTTATTTTATGGTATGTACCATAGAATGATTGTTTGTTTGTTTTTTTAACAATGAGGAATGTGTCGCTATAGTTTTTAGTCTAATGTCTTTCATTGTTTTAAAATAAACAGGTTTGGAGTAAGGGGCAAATTGTGCAGATGGGGCGGGTGCCAAGAACTGCATTCACAACTGTCAATGTGAAAGTTAACGTGGATATGGTGCCTTCTTTTCGTCTCGTGGCCTACTATTTTACAGGCTCCGCATCAAAAGAAAGTGTAGTGGCTGACTCTGTGTGGGTCGATGTGAAAGATGTCTGCAAAGGCAAGGTAAAGATAAGTTAAATTGTCATTATCATTATTATTTACTTATCATTTGGATAGATTTAAAATGAAAAAAGGTAGGCCAAGGTATTAATTTTAGAATGTAGAAAATGATCACATACTTGAAATCATGTTTACAAGTTCTTTTTGCACTATACTGTTTTTTATCTGCACAACTCTGGTTTACTTTGCACTCATTTGCTATATGCCCTTAATGTCACTGTATTTACAATTTTTATTACATATGTATATTTTTTAGACCACATTTATGTGCAATGTATATACTGTAAATTTTCTTTTTCTTAAACTCTACTATTTTTTATATATATATATATATATATATATATATATTATATTAATGTTAAGCACCTTGGGTCTGAGAGTAACGCAATTTCGATTCTCTATATGTTTTGTACATGTGGCTGAATTGACAATAAAGCTGACTTTGACTTTGACTTTGATAACTTAATATAAATTATAAAACTTTTTGTTGTAAAGTTACAGTTAAGTACTGGCAGCTGGGTTGCCAGCCCCGTACTCTGCATTTACAGGGCCAGTACACAATATTTTCAGTTTACTACTGTAAATACCAAATACAGTATTACACTATATTTTATGTAATTACTGCTTTTTGTTCTGTGCACATCTGATTATGATAAAAAATAACAACTGGTTTGGTAAATCCAAAGGGTGAATTGAGTGTAGATCATTTTACAATGTGTCACCATTCGAATGAAAGATATCGTTTTGCTTGCAGATAGAAATTAATCCGCTGGCTGAGATAAAACCTGCAACACAGTTTGAGGTGACAGTCGAGACGAATCCAAAGACCAAAGTGGCTCTTGTGGCGGTGGACTCTGCAGTTTATATTCTCAACAAAAACAAACTAAGCCTTCAAAAGGTAACACATCTGTGCGCAAATGAGTCATTTTGTGAATATCTAGTGTGCTATGCTAGTGCAATCTTACAGTGGACCTTTTATGCTCCTTTTTCCAAGATGTGAAATAAGTGTCTGATGTCCCTACAATGTGACGTTTCTGTACCCCACAAAATACCTTTTTATAACTCTTCAAAACCGCCCCTTATACGCTTAGATCCAATTTGAGCAGTTTTTTTATCAATTGAGATTGTGCTCTCACCAATCTTTTCAAAATAAAATGGTCAGCCTATTCTTTTTTTACATATTTTAATAGTTTAGTATAGATCATTTTGAAAATTATATTGCAATCCTGGAGACAGAAAGGTAAAAGATCAATTTATTATCAAAATATTTAATGAAAATATGCGTAGCAGCTCATTGGAAAAAAAAAAAAAAAACAACGGTGTGAAAACTAATGGCATATAGCTGCTTCTAACTCGGGACTGTTTATACTCAAAGTGTTTCTGCAAACTATTGACTGTTTTTATGAAGTGTTTTTATAAAGTGGGATACCAACAGAGGTTAGCTATATTCACATACTGTTGCCACAAAACTGTGTTTATACCCTTTATAAATGTGATTTTTTTCATAATAGGTCCCCTTTAAAAGTACTGCATGTACTGTACCTCTTTAGTATTGGTTCTCATGATGGGGGGGATTTGTTTTGCACACAGATGTTTGATTATATGAACTCGTATGACCTGGCCTGCTCTGTTGGAGGAGGAGAGGATTCTAGTGCTGTTCTGCAGAGAGCCGGGCTGACTTTCATTTGTAACTGTGCTCTTAAAACCCCTACAGCACTAGGTAAAATGCCTATGACTACTCTGTAAAAGAAAAATCTTATTCAAAGAACATACATTTTAAGATGAATCCAATTCACTTAGGTCATTAAAACTTAAATTAACTAATTAGTTAATTCAAATTAACTGATCTAAAGGCACAATGTGTCATTTTCACCACTAGAGGTTGCATGTTTGCAAAAAACAAAGGTGTGTGGTATCATGAGCTTTGTGGACTTCATTACATCCTACAATACATCACGAAATCAAGTATTTAGAATTTGTAAATATAGTAGTATGAAGCAGAGTAAGACTAAGTGCTGTTGAAGCGAAAAGAGAACATTGAACCTATGTGTGATGAACAAACAGTTAAGCTTTTATTATTCTACATTTGTTCTCATGACTTTTGATGATAACATGTCTTAGTTATTGTTACTAAAAAACCATGAAAGAGTGTAAAGAAGTTTTTATTTCTTTTCAGAGCATAAGTGTAACAAAAAAACTACCAATCGTGTCAGGAGAGCACCGGACTATGTTGCTAAATACAATGCAGTCGGTAAGATGCAGTAACAGTATTAAAAAGTCTCTTCATAATTATGTATTTAATAATGTCTTTTAATTAAGTGTCAATTAATATGTCCTTATCCCAGTTAACAGCTTTAAGAATCAAGACAGGAAATGCTGTTTGGATGGTGTAAGGCCCAGCAAAATGCAAACATCCTGTGTTGACCGTCTTAAAAGAGTAAAAGAATCGGAGAGTTGCCGTAAGGCTTTTAAAGAGTGCTGCGAAGCTGCAGATGAGAGGAGGAAAAGGGAGAAGTTTGAGAAGAGAAAAACCAGCCTTGGAAGAGGTACAGTTTGTGTTGCACAACTTCTTGGAAGGGTTTTCTTGGATTAAAGCCACATTGATTACACAATTGTACAGGGCTTTCAAGCTGTTCTTTTAAACAAAACCAGACAAATAACATGAAAGTGAGCATTGAACCTAGTTGAGTGTATGATTTTAATAATAATAATAAGTATTTTTTTGATTATTATTATGATGATGGTGATGCATTTATGCAAAATTAATGATAGCATGACATAAATTACGTTTATACACTATTTAAATAAACATGTAAAAAATATATATGTTATCATACAGTGAAGTTTTAGTGGAAGATTTGGAAGTCTGGTTTAGTTTAACAATACTAACAATTATACTACTACTACTACTACTAATAATAATAATATTAATAATAATAATAATAATAAGATTAGTAAGTAATAATAAGAATAGACTATATATATATATATATATATATATGTGTGTGTGTGTGTGTGTGTGTGTGTGTGTGTGTGTGTGTGCGTGTGTGCGTGTGTGTTTATAATTCATTATCGTAAATAATGAAAACATATTGTATTAACATTACATTATTGTCATTATTATAATACATTCTAAATTAACAAAAATTTGTTAGAGTTTCTCGTTTAATATTGAGATATTTAATATTCATTTTCAATTCATTACATAATTTAAACAAAAAAATTGCGCAATTGTATGCACTAAGATTTAAATATTATAGCTGAGTAAAGTATATAATTTAAATGTGACAGGCATAAGTACACTATCACTATTTGTATACTATACAATACAATACTATTTGTATTGTTAAAATTGTCTATTAAACTAAATAAATATAACAGTTGAAAATGTGTAAAAAATGTAAATTATTATTTTTGTGTTTAGACTAGAGGTGTGAGTTTGAAGTTACTCTGCCTGCCATTGCCACTTTTAAAAGCTGAACTTTCTAACTCTCCTCTTTGTCTTTTTATTACTGCAGTTGTTGGTGACTCATTTGATGAAATTGTGATTAATGAGGATTTGATCTACATCCGTAACTATTTCCCACAGTCGTGGATGTGGACAGTCATTGAATCAGATAACAAAGGCTTAATCAGGTCACCTGCTAATCAGAAAATCAGATATTATTAATGTTTAATACTGATGAATGAAACAAATATATTTTTTCCTTTTATAAACTTTCAGGCATGAAGTGGTTGCCCCTGATTCCATTACCACTTGGGAAGTCCAGGCTGTTGGCATTTCTCCCACTAAAGGTTTACAATACAGGATTTTCACTGGCTTTTTTACAAAGAGATTGTTTGTTTTTTGTTTTTTTTAGAGCTTAAAAGTAAAATCTTAAAAAGACTTCTACTTAGTAATGTGCTCAAGGTATTACATTTTTTAAACAGGTCTTTCCCAATAGCTCAAACTGTGCTTGTTTATTATGTGGTGTTGAAGTTCCAAAGAAAAAAAAAAGTAAGATATAGATCCTAAATTTCAAAAGTAATAGCCTTTAAAAGATCTTACACTTGTCAAGGTAAAACCTGCAGAAACCCAGCAATAACTCAATATTTGCACCTTTATTCTGTATTATTGATATTTTGATTAAATGTTTATGGATATACACCATCTGAAAGTTGAATAAATTAGTTTACTTAGCAAAGATACAGCAACATGAAAATCTAGAATATAAGAATGAAAAATAGAATTATATAATAAAATTATTATTATTTTTAAATTGAGAAAATCAATTTGAAGTTGCCCAAATGAAGTGCTTAGCTATGCACATTAATTAAAATATGAGTTCTGAATTTGAGTTTTGAAAATGATCTTTTTTTTAATACTCAATCATTTTGATTCATTATACAATACAATGTTTTTCTGGCAGTTGCCTTTCAGTGCAACATAAGACTGGTTTTGTCATCCAGGGTCATAAATGTTGTTGTTTTTCAGGATTTTGCATTGCTGAGCCAAAGCCCTTGACAGTCTTCAAGGATTTCTTTTTGTCCGTCAACCTTCCTTATTCTGTGAAGAGAAACGAACAGCTTCAGGTTAAAGCTGTTGTGTACAATTACAAGCAGGAGAGTTTAAAGGTAAGCTTCCGGGTGCTTTTCTTGCAAACTGCCTTTGAAAAATATTGCCTTTGCATGTTAGATAAAAATGAAATGTAGAAATATAGTTTGAGTGTAAGTGCTGAGGATGCTGTATGGTGTGTGTTTGTAGGTAATAGTGAAGCTGAATAAGGTGGAGGGTTTGTGCACTGCTGGAGGTAATGATGTGAAGGAGGAGGTCACAGTTTCTGGTAACTCAGCAGTGACCGTGTATTTCACTGTGGTGCCCCTTATTATTGGGAACCTCCACATTGATGTTCTAGCTTATGCTTCCGAAATCATCCATGATCGAGTCGAAAAGAAACTTCGTGTGGAGGTAAAGTATGTTCATTTTTTAGATATTAATATATTTTACAAATGCTACTGTATGACCATTTCTGTATCTACAGGGGTTTCTGTAGAAATTGCTGCCTTATTCATTTTCGTTTTATGATTGGTTTTGAGACTGAAGTTTAACAGTTATGAAAGTAGTTTAAAGTGCTAGCTGCTATTTTCCTTGTAGGGACAAAGAGTTTTGGTGGATTTTGTTGGTAACTTTGTCATTTGAAATGAGAAATCATTTGTTAAATTTTGTGGCAAGGGAAGGAAAAATAATCTACATTTTATTCCACTTTGTGAAGTTTATTTATAAAATAATTTTGAGAGGGTCACATGCTTATGATTGCTTGCAGCCAGTCCCGCATTATTCAATTTAGGATTTATCAGACGATTCCTAAACCATTATAAATACCTTAAGTTCCATTTAACAGCCATCTTCGTTTTGAAGAATCCTCCTTCCACCCCTACTCCTCGTCCTTTCCTAGATGGGTGGCGTGGTGGCCCAGTGGTTAGCACTGTTGCCTCACAGCAAGAACATCACTGGTTCTAGTCTTTACCAAGCCAGACGTTTCTGTGCAGAGTTTACATGTTCTCCCTGTGCTCACCTAGGTTTCCCCCGGGTTCCCCGGTTTCCTCCCACCATCCAGAAATATGCAATTTAAGTTAATTGACTAAACTAAACCAGCGAAAAAAATGTACAAAAGCACGCATGTCTCTCTAAATTGGGTGCTCAGCCAAAACCGCAAAAGGTGCAAATAAATGTCAATCAAAGGCGGCAACACCAAGGCTCCAAAAATACAAATTTATTAAATTAAAAAGGCTGACACAGAGCGTGTATTTGCACTAATCCAAACCAGCACCATAGATATGCTCCTAGTAAGTAGTTATCTCTTAAGACCAATCACTATCTGTTCACTTGCTACTACAGCAGGGGAGTTCTTGAGATCTACGTTAGATCAAACTCACCTCTCGCTATGCAAACGGGAGGGAACCCCGGGCTCAAGGATCTTATGAGCTCAGGGCTCTCTCCCGGGACAGCATGCCAAACAAGCTTTATAATCAATCATTATCTTAGGGTGCTTTCACACCTGTGAATCGATTCAGTTGTTTCGAAACTATTTTTATTACTAGATTATTGTTATATTGTTGCTTTTGCTCTTGGAGCGGTTCGCTTTCACACTGCAAAGTTTCTAATCGGACCAAAAGAGCTAAAACAAGTCATGTGCGAGTAAACTCTCCTCACATTGGTCAGAGTGTCAGGGTTTATTTTGCAGCATCCCGCTCAGCTGTCAGGAGAGGTGGTGGTTTGGTGGTGGTTTGGTGGTGATTGACAGGGTGCGTGCGCGCGCGACTTGTCTGAGGAGAGATGCGGTGGGGAGGGATGAGAAGGGTGCGCGACGATGCCTATTTGAGTACCGGGAGGGAGACGCGAGATTACCGGGAGATCATCACTTGTTTGCGGGCATCCGGAGACTCGCGAAACTTCCCGCCATACTCATAACTCTCTTCATATAGCCGTAAGCCTATTACATATCCATAAAACACTGTGATATAACCGCGCTCGGATCGGATCGCTTTCTCACTGCAATCGAACCGCTCCACAGTTCGTTTCAATCGAGCCGAGACCACCTCATTCAAGTGATCTCGGAGCAATTGCTTTGGTGCGGAACAGAGCGCGATTGCCCTGTTCACATATGCCAAACGAACCGCGCTAACTGGGCAAACGAGATGCGTTCCGAAACAAAAGTGTAGGTGTGAAAGCACCCTAAGTGTGAACTCTTGAAAAATGTTTCAATTTCACCCACTCACTGATTATGTGATAAGTTTTGAAAAACTATTTATTAATGATTTAAAGCAATTCTATAAAAAGAAAACTGTAACACGATTGCACAATGAATCAGTCCACAATAAAGAGAAACAGAAGATATTTCTTTAATGCTTATGATTTCCTTTAATAAATTCACTGTTGAAAAAGCTCTCTTTGTTATCTTCTATATTTAGGGGGAAGGTGAATTAACCTCTATCGACAGGGAGTTCAACATTGACCCAAATTGTAAGAATCAAATATATAAGCAGTATCTGTTATTATGCTTTCCTTCCATTCTAATACACTTTTTTTAATTAACAGTGAAAAAAATAGAGTTTAACATTTCATCCCCTGTTGATGAGGTCCCTGCTGGTTCAGACTCAGAAACCTCTTTAGGTTTTAAAGGTTAGTTGGTACTGTAGATAAATGGATGGATTAGTAGATAGTTTAGATACAGTCAGTGCTGTCTCTGTTTCAGGTGGAGTGATGGGCGAGTCAATAGACAACTGTTTAAACCTGGAGGGTATTGATAAACTGATCCAGCTGCCCACTGGCTGTGCAGAACAGACTATGGTGAAGATGTCTCCCGCTATTCATGCCATGAGGTATCTGGATGCCACCAACCAGTGGTTATCTCTGAAAGCTGAACGCAGAGATGAGGCCCGATCCATGATCCAAACCGGTGTGTATACATATCTGTAAATTATAAAACATTAATTAAATGGGTGTCCCCTTACAGCAAGAAGGTCGCTGGTTCGAGCCCTGACTGGGTCAGTTGGCATTTCTTTGTGGAGTTTGCATGTTCTCTCTGTGTTTGCGTGGGTTTCCTCCGGGTGCTCCAGTTTCCCCCACAGATCCAAAAAAACATGTGCTATAGATAAGTTGGGTAAGCTAAATTGTCCGTAGTGTATGTGTGTGAATGGGAGTGTATGGGTGTTTCCCATTGAATGGTTGCAGCTGGAAGGGCATTCACTTTGTAAAACATATGCTGGATAAGTTGACGGTTCATTCCGTTGTGGCGACCCCTGATTAATAAAAGTACTAAGCTGCAAAGAAAATGCATGAATGAAAATAAATGGGTTATACTTTAATTTACAGTGGCAACGTTATAGTTTAAATATACATTTAAGTGTTGACAACATTAATTAACAACATACTTAAAATATAGTTGGGGTGATGAGCAGGTTGCCAGGTTATTCGCAACAATATCAAAATATCACCACCCATTCAAAATGTTAATTTTTTTTTAGGTCACTGTGCATTATAAACGGTTTGTCTATATATGTATATTGGTATTTCTAAATATTTTATTATCATAAAAATCATATTAACCTTTATATTGACAGAACGGCAGGCATAGTGTTTTTGTTCATTGAGCTACTCCGGCAGAAGTTAACCCTAAATTTGTAAAATTTTTAATTAAAAATATATATTATAAATCTGAAATTGAAGATTAATAGATTATAAACTGACAGACATTTTTAATAGACTACGGATTGACCTTATTCTGTATATGTGGATATGACTAGAAATAATAAGTGACAGGAAAAGATCTACTTGCTTTACAAACAATTGTGTTCATGACAACACATAAAAATAATGTAATAACAAAATACAAAATGCCTAAAATCAATGGAAGCGAATGAGACCAGAAGTCTCAGGCCAATAAGGTTTCAATGAAGGCACCCTTTACACGAAAGAATAAGTAGCAAGAATCCAGGAGAGTCATCTGGTCCCATGGAAATGAGTCAAATATTTCCAACGACAATGTAAATTTAATTCATATAATGTCAAATCTTTAACCTGCAGAATAAAAACAACAAACTATGCAAATGTTTAGTAGCTCAATTCAGTGGGAAAATTAATTTGGCAACCGTGTTGATAAGCGTTATGTTTAGTTGCATCTAAATATTACTTAAGTACATGGAAACTACTGTATGTAACAAGGTCACTGCAAAAAAGTGCTAATAGTAAATGTTTTAGTTGTTTGTTTAACATAAAACGAATGATAGATTGAAAGCTGTTTTAATCCATTAGCGATTATGCAAAATGTCATATTTATCAAATAAAAGTTTTGGGTTAGCTTTTAAAAAATGTCAACAAAGCTTCGTTTGTTTGATTAAAAAACAGTAATAGTGTGAAACATTATTGCAACTTTGTAAAAGTGGAAATCTTCTGTAAAATAAAAAAGTGTATCAGTTTTGATTAATTCCCACCTCATAAAAGTGTCAAACTGACATTTTTTATGCCCGCTATTATACCAAAGGTTCTTCATATGTCTAACAAATGATAGAATATTAAAATATCATCGATATCTTAATTTCAAGTAACAACTTCTTATTTACCAGGTTACAACACAGTCCTCACACACAAGAAAGACGATGGCTCTTATGGAGCTTTCCTAAGAACTCCTAGCAGTATTTGGTATGTCTTTAAGTCCTCTGGCATGAACATACTGCATGACTCTAGCAATTGAAAGGCCTTATTTGTGCAAAAAAAAAAAAAAACTATTCAAAAACATTCACAGTTGTTTAAATACATATATAATATGTATTACTTCTATCCAACCTTTTCCTAGGCTTACTGCATTTATTGCCAAAGAGCTGACGGGTTCTCAGGACATTGTCAATGTGAACAAATTATATATTCAGGAGGCTATGTCTTATCTCATTTCCAAACAGAAGAGCAATGGTGCATGGGATGATCCCAATCGCCTGTTTGACCAAGGAATGAAGGTACAGCTGAAGAAATATATTTTGTTATTATTTTATTTATCAACATTGATTGGCTCCATCTACTGATAAAAAATATATATATATACATATATATTTGTCTTCAGGGAGGAGTAGAACAAGCAACAGATGACGTTCCCCTCACTGCCTTTGTGCTTATATCAATGCACCATGCTTTGAAAGTTTACGATCTGGGAAGTGATACGGAACTGGTAACAAATAGCGACAGTACAGAGAGAGTGTGTTGCTAATTATTGACTACTGAACAAACAGATAATGTATGTACAAAGCTTTGTTTATTTCCAGAGAGTAGCTATGGATAAAGCAAAGTCCTACCTAGAAGCGCAGCTGGATGCTGTGAGGAGTCCCTATTCACTTGCTGTCACAGCTTATTCCTTTTCCTTGCATGATCATCGAAGTGCAGAAGCTCGGAAAGCGCAACAAAAGCTACAAGACATTGCTAACTGTGATGACAGTCAGTATTAAAATATTACCAGCATCTTTTCTTTACATCTTGCATATTTCTTCTTACAACATTATCTACTAACATATGATAATAGCCATAATAGCCATAATAGCTACAGTTGAAATCAGAATGATCAAACTCCCTGTTAGTTTTCTTTTTTCTTTTTTACATATTTCCCAAATTATGTTTAACAGATCCAGGAAATTTTTACAGTATGTCTGATAATATTTTTTCTTCTGGAGAAAGTCTTATTTGTTTTATTTCAGCTAGAATAAAAGCAGTTTTCAATTTTTTAAAAGCCATTTTAAGGTCTAAATTATTAGCCCCTTTAAGCTATATATTTTTCGATAGTCTACAGAAAAAACCATCTTTATACAGACACTTGCCTAATTAACCTACCTAATTAACCTAATTAACCTAGTTAAACATTTAACCTTTACTAGAAATGAGTTATGAAAATTATTATGCTTAGAAATGTGCTGAAAAAATCTTCTTTCTGTTAAACAAAAATTAGGGAAAAAATAAACAGGAGGGCTAATAATTCAAGGGGTCAATAATTTTCACTTTAACTGTATGTATACACTGCTGCTTATTTTGGTAATTTCACCTTTTAGTACCAATTATTCTGTACACACACAGTTCAGTCATTTGCAGATTTTTGTATTTGTTGAAAAGCAGCTTCAAAAACTTTGATCCTAAAATGTTGCCATGTACATCTATTATAAGCATCATTAGGAATGTTGATAGATATGATTGCTAGATATGAGGAGTTATAAGAATGGTTTATGATAAATGTAGTGATGTTTTGTTTTATTTTTAATGCCAAATATTTCTGTTTATTTTTGATTATTTACAGATTTTTTTTCTAGCCAGATCTGGCAGCACAAATGAGCACCTCTTTTTCTGTAATGTGTTGCTCTGCTCGGTTTGTTATTACTGAGCATATACAGAACAGAGTCACATCTCTAAACAAGTCATTAACTACTAATTGTTTAGTGAAGTTCTGAACTCAGTGTAGAGTTTGTGTAATTGCAGTTGTCAATTTAATTTAGTTACTGATTTTTGTCAGATTTATGGAATGTGTGTGTAAAGAGGAGGGCCAAGCATAAAAAAGGTAAACTGACAGCCTGGTTTAGCAGCAGTGTGTGTGTGTCTTCTGTAGAGTTCATGGTGCAAGAAATCACGGGATAAATAGAGTTGAATTCAATATTATTAGCCCTCTTGCATGGATTAAAGCAAGGAATTCTTTTTAGAGTATTTGCTATATATGTTTTTTCTTCTGGAGAAAGTTCTATTTGTTTTATTTTGTTTGATAAAAATTTAAGATCAATATTATTAGCTCCCTTAAGCAATTTTGTTATTTTGATTGTCTACAGAACAAACTGTTTTGCAATGACTTGCCTAATTAACCTAGTTTAGCCTTCAAATTGCACCTTTCTGCTCAATTTTGGTGTCTTCTAGTAAAAATATTAAATAGTAACACATGTGATGTCATCATGGCAAAGATAAAAGAAATCAGTTATTAGAAATTAGTTATTAAAACTATTATGTTTAAAAATGTGTTGAGAAAAAATAGTTTTCATTAAAAAGAAATTGGAGAAAAAAATATACAGGTGGCTAATAATTCAGGACGGCTAATAATTTTGCTTTCAACATTGTACATTTCCATTGCTAGATCTTCCAAAAAAAAAAAAAAAAAGAAGTGTTCGCTGTGCTTTAGTTGAAATCAGTGACTTTAATTGGTGAAACTTGAATTAAAGAAGACTGCATGTGAGCGATTTAGCTCAGTTATCATATTTTCTGTTTCATGTAGAAATGTGTTTTTGGAAAGCCAAGGGTGGCAGAGGTGAACCAAAAGATAAAGCTGATGCTCGATCAGTGGAGACCACAGCATATGCTCTGCTCACTACACTCATTGTGGGTGACAAGAGCAAGTCTAAACTCATTGCAAACTGGCTGACAGAGCAGCGCAGACACGGTGGAGGCTTCCGCTCCACACAGGTGGGTTGAGAAGTTATTGTGATCCGGATAAAAAAAATGGGTTAACTGCACTACTTTAAAAAAAAGTTAGATGTTAAATTGTATATTTTTTGTATTTTTTTCTTTTCTTAAAATAGGATACAGTTTTGGCCCTTGAAGCTCTGACAAAATACAGCATACAGAACAATGATGTTGACGATCTGAATCTGAGGGTAGAAATGTGCCTTGAAAATGGCCAAAAAAAAGATTTGCACTTGACCAAAAATAATGCTCTCACTCTCTCAGCTGTGAAGGTAAGAAACTTTGGTCCCACTTTATATTAGATGGCCTTCATTGCTATTGCATCAAATTAAATACAATGTACTTAATCTTTGTATAATGTATTGCAGAACACTTCTGGTGGGATACAGCTAGGGTTTAGGACTGGTTTGGTGGTTTGGATAGGTTTAAGGTTGGGTTAAAGTGTAAGGGATGCTCAACAGTCCAAGTAAATAATATTTAGTCACCAAACATATTTAGAATTTTTAGAAATAAAATTTAATACAAGCTAAATATTGCAAAAAAAATTACAACCTACAAAATTTTAACAAAATTTTTACATTTTTATGCTTCTTTTGATTTTTCCTCTTCTTTAAATTTGTATTTAACATTTTTCTATAACATATATTTGGGTGTACTAAGGTTCTGGTCTGCAATGCCTACCCTTCCTTAAAGCTCTTCTGATTGGCCCACTGCTCTTGAACTGAACACAAATAGATTGGTTAATGTCAGCTGTAAATCTGTAAAAATGTAAAGGTCTAGATTAGATTGAATGAAAACAACGTTGACAGATTTTGTTTTAGAAACAACCTAAAGTTACAAATAATGGCACATTTGATCAGTGGTCATGTGGTGAATTTTATTCCACCCTTTACACTTTTCGAAAAGTGAATAAAAGACATCTAGTGGGTTAAAGTCTGCTATGAAAATGACTAAAGCCATTCATTGTTTAAATAGCACAATGGATTTAAAATGTTTTTTAAAAATTAAAAAAAAAACAGCAAAAATAAACGTAATTTACAGTGGTTGTTAGGTGCTTGAAAAGCATAAAAATGCACCTTAAAAGTGCTGGAATTTGAAGTTGGAAACAGTTTAAGAACGCTGCTTTCGGCAAAGCAGTTTATTGTTATTGTTATAGCAGTAAATTCTCTTTTGGCCCTTAACTATCATGGCCTCCCAATCATCCCCATCCACCGAACTGGCTGTATCACTGTCGCTCTACTGCAATAATAGCTGGTGTGAGGTGAGCGCAGTGGCACTGTTGTGCTGTGGCTGCCGTTGCATCATCCAAGACGATGCTTTACACTGGTGATGGTGTGGAGAGACCCCCCTCATGACTACACAGTACACAGTTTAAAAGCACTTCTTTGTCTTAACACTACACCCAAATATACACATTAGCACACCTCCATTAGCTTCTCCACTAATAGTATCTCAACTCTCCCATTTGTTTCCTATCCATGGCCAGTTGAGTAATTTCTTTACCATTGATGGAATCTAAGGTTTTTTAGGGATTCTACCGATGACCACTTAAGGTCTTTCCTTCCTTCTTCAAATGTGGCAATTCAGCAAAAACATTGCTCAACAATTTATCTTGTTCACTGTACATTTAGCTGAAGTTTACATGGGAGGGTCAAAGGATTTCGGAAGTCATTGGAAGTATGTGTGGGTGCCTGTCTGAGTGTGCAGGTGTGCACGAGCATGAGTCGCACATGAAACAGAAAGCAAGCGCCCTTATGACTTCCATACATCTGTTCCCATTACGTTACTTACACATCCTGCTCTTTTAATTATTTTCCTGGCTGTATTTGCACAGTGTCTTTGCATTCCCCATCAGACTACAGTCTGCTTGAACGTGGCTTCTTCATAAAAGTATAAAGGTCAAACATACAAAGGATGATTATAAAGTATATGCTCAAATATAACGTTGGATAGCTTCCTATTAAAAATCTGAATTTAAAAGATAGATTTGTGAGGGGTGTTTTTAACCTAGTTTCTGTTTAACAGAGTTTTTTTCAACACATTTCTAAACATAATAGTTAAAATAACTTATTTCTAATAACTAATTTAATTTATGGCGAGGCAGTGGCGTGGTAGGTAGTGCTGTCGGCTCACAGCAAGAAGGTCGCTGGGTTGCTGGTTCGAACCTCGGCTCAGTTGGCGTTTCTGTGTGGAGTTTGCATGTTCTCCCTGCCTTCTCGTGGGTTTCCTCCAGGTTCCCCCACAGTCCAAAGACATGTGGTACAGGTGAATTGGGTAGACTAAATTGTCCGTAGTCTATGAGTGTGTGTGTGGATGTTTCCCAGAGATGGGTTTCGGCTGGAAGGGCATCCGCTGTGTAAAAACTAGCTGGATAAGTTGGCGGTGCATTCTGCTGTGGCGACCCCGGATTAATAAAGGGACTAGGCCGACAAGAAAATGAATGAATGAATGAATAAATTCATTTATCTTTGTCATGGTGACCGTAAATAATATTTGACTAGATCTTTTTCAAGACACTTCTATACAGCTTAAAGTGACATTTAAAGACTTAACTAGGTTAATTAGGTTAAGTAGGCAGGTTAGGGTAATTAGGCAAGTTATTGTATAGAGATGGTTTGTTCTGTAGACTATCGAAATAAAAAAGAAGCTTAAAGAGGCTAACAATTTTGACCTTAAAATGTTTATTTATTATAATTTTTGGTCCCACTTTATATTAAGTGGCCTTAACTAATATGTACTTACATAGGAGTTAATAGTTTGTTACAATGTACTTTTTGTGTAAATACATACTATTGACCATCCCTTACACCTTAACCTACCCATGCCACCAAACCTGTCCATAACCCAACCTCTATTCCAACTCAAAAGCACCACAAGTGTTCTCAAATACATTATAAACACAGTAAGTACATTGTATTTAATTTTTGATATAAGTACATAGTAGTTAGGGACACTTAATATAAAGTGGGACCTAATTTTTTTATTTAAAACTGCTTTTATTCTAGCTGAAATTAAACAAATAAGACTTTATCCAGAAGAAAAAATATTATTAGACATACTGTGAAAATTTCTTTGATACGTTAAACATAATTTGGAAAATATTTAAAAAAGAAATTCAATGGGAGGCTAATAATTCTGACTTCAACTGTATATATAAAAACAATGAATATTTTAATTTGGTGAAACACTTTTCAGAAGAATAGAGAAAACTGAACTTGTCGTATGATTTTGAAGTCTTTAAATGTGTGCTAAAGTATGCCATAACCCTTTCAAGGCAGGCGTTGCTGATTTGCAACAGTTAAAAATTAACTACCTTATTACTCCAGATACATATTTTCTAAGTTTTTTTTTACTCAGAAGTACCACTGCAGGACTTGGTTGTCCAATAGCAACAAACAGTTTCCCCACTTGCTCACCAGATGACACAAAAGACAAAAACTGTTTCTTGGAGTACCACATGACAAAGTGACTTGGAAACATGACCTACTCAATGAGGATTTGAGATATTGGATTTGGATCCCATATTGTTTTGTTGTTGTTCTGCCACTGAAAAGCAATTTGTTACATTGTTTGAAAAGTTGTATATAAAAAGTTATTGTTCATATCATATTCGGTCGTCAGTGTCTATTTACCACACTAGGCCAATGTTGCAAATCTGCAACATCCCAGAACGCCTTGCTTGTGAAGGTCTCTTTAAAAAAAAAGTCAGGATTCTATTGTACTACCCCATATGATAATTTTCCCCAAATATCAGATTTATCCTGTTTCTAAAACTTAATTTGAGCCTGAGAGGATAACAACAAAAGTCTCACCTATGTGCACTTGTTTACACAGGTCAGAGATGTTGGGAAAGTTACCCTAAACATTCAGGGAACAGGACGGGGAACATTAGCCGTAAGAAATAAAGCAATTTATTTTACTCTTTTTTTTTTTTTTTTTTTATTAATTCCAAGAAGTTGGAGATATGAACTCATATCACATCACATACAGTACTGTATATCTTAACTGCTTACAATTCAGAATTCATCTCAGTTCTGTTTATTTGTTTACGTTTACATATTGCGATGCTGATTTCATTTGGAAATTCTGATTTATACTGTATCTCATAATATCCTGCGTTTTCATTTGAAAATTCTGATTTATGTCTCATAATGTCTTGAGTTTGCAAAACATTACTCTGTTTACACTTTGCAGTTCTTTTTTTTTCTTCTTTGAATTGACTTTTATTTAAATGTTTTGCAATTTTGAGATTATAGGCTCTTGAAATTCTCAGTTTATAATAAAAAGTTGGTGTCATTTTTATTTTGCATAGATCTCCCGCTTAGCTTCATGATAGTTTGACTGACATTTTGCTCGTTGCAGGTTGTGCAGACGTACAGAACTATGAAGAAGGATGAATCATTCTGTGATCTTTTTCACCTTACTGTCACAGTGAAGGGAGAGCTGGAGTACAGTATGTAACATTAAGGGACACTTTCATCGTAGGACACTCTATTGTTAAATGAAGCGCATTGCAATGTCTTTAATTTCAATTTTTTAAAGGGGGAGTAGCTACAGACTTTGAGTTCTAAATGCTGTAGCTAAAAAATAAAATAAGTATTCTCTTTTGTAGAAACCGACAATAGTCAAGATCTGCTTGAAGATTATTATGAGAGCTATGACACCAGTGAAGCTCAAAATGATGAGCCCATGAGCAACATGCAGTGGTTTGACCTCCGCAGCCGCAGAAAAAGACAAATCTCGGAGGAGCCGATAAAAGAGAGTTCTCTCATATACACAGTGTGTGTGGGGTGAGTGCAGCAAAACAGCACTGTATGCAGATTTAAAATACATTGATTTGTTCTGTAAATGTTCTGCAGAATTACGATGACTTGAGATCAACTATTCAATTCATCTCTCTTTCAGCCTGAAAAAGAAGAACTCTGAGGGCATGATCATAGTGGACATTTCTCTTCTGAGTGGACTGATACCAAACAGCAAAGACCTGGAACATGTGCATATTATCTATCTATCTATCTATCTATCTATCTATCTATCTATCTATCTATCTATCTATCTATCTATCTATCTATCTATCTATCTATCTATCTATCTATCTGTCTATCTGTCTATCTGTCTTTCTGTCTGTCTGTCTGTCTGTCTGTCTGTCATCATCCAAAATTTTATCCATGTTGCTCTCTTTATCTATCCATTCATTCATCCATCCATATTGCACTATCCATCCATCTGTTCATCCGTACCATTCTATCTGTATATCCATCCATCCATCCCCTTTAATTATCTATTCATCCATCCGGCCATCCATTCATCTGTTCATCCGTACCATTCTTTCTATCCTTCCACCCCCTATAATTATACATTAATCTATCCATCGATCAATCTATTAATCCTTCCATCCATTCTATTTTATCTATCTATTTATCCATTCATCCATATAAATATACCCATTCATCCATCTGTACTTTTCTATCCATCCATCTCTGATCTATTAATCAGCTGTTCATTCATCCATGCCAGACAATTTATCCATCCGTATCATTCTATCATCCATCATTTCATCCGAGTTGTTCTCTTTATCTATCATTCATCCATCCATATTGTACCATTCATTCATCCATCTGTTCATCCGTATCATTACATCTATCCATCAATCCATCCACCTATCCATTGATCCTTTCATGCATTCTATTGTATCAATCTATCTATCTATCTATCTATCTATCTATCTATCTATCTATCTATCTATCTATCTATCTATCTATCTATCTATCTATCTATCTATCTATCTATCTATCTATCTATCTATCTATCTATCTATCTATCTATCTATCTATCTATCTAACTGTCCACATAAATACACCCATCCATTTATCTGTACTGTCCTATCCATCCATCTATGATCCATTAATCCATCTGTCTATTCATCTATATCATTTTATCATTCATCCATATCATACCATTTATGCATCTGCTTATCCATACAATTCCATCCATCAATAGCATTCCAACCATCTATACCTTTTCTATTTGTCAATTCACCTCTTCATCTGTGCCATACTATCAGTCCATAATTTATCAATACTTCTTTCATATGCGTCTTTCTATCCTTCCATCCATCCATCAATTCATCTGTTCATTCGTACCATTCACCCTTCATCCACATTAATTCATCCATTTATACCATTCCATTAATTAATTGTTTATCAATTCATCATCTGCACAATTCCATCCATTCATCCATCTTTCCATTATATGCATATCAACTAACTTGTTCCATTTTTTTCTGTCCATCAACTATTTATCTATCTATTTAATAATTCAGCTCTTCTACAGAAACTGACAATAATACATATATATTTGACAATTATTATTATTGTTGTTACAATTAAGAAAATGTATATCTAAAAGTGTCACTTCTTGGCTTTATGCAGTAACACGTTATTACCAATATGTGATAAAAAATATGAATGTATTTCTTTTCCAAGCATTGCTTAAATTTCACTTCTTCTTTTTCCCCGCAGAATGTAAAGGGCACAGAGAAGTACATCGATCACTATGAAATTCACCACAACAAAGTCTATCTTTATTTTGCAAAGGTACCAAAAGAATTTTTCTTCAAGTATCCCAAAACTTTCACATTCTTCTATTTTATTAAATAATTTATTTAAAAAAGATCTTTTCCCCTGTACCAGTTTTGTGCAAGAGATTAACCCTTATTGAAATACTCATTATTAGAGAAATCCTAAAGTGTTGGTTATTACAAAACTTTTAAACTTTTTGTTTATTTATGATCATTATATTTGAATTTTTAATTATTACCAATGATAGTACCAAAAAAGGTCAAGCATAAAAACACTATATAACATTTAGGGCTCTATTTTAATGATCTAGGCGCAAAGTCTATAGTGTCTAAAAGCATTCAGGGCATGTCAAAATCCACTTTCGCTATTTTAAGGACAGAAAAATATGCTTTGCACCCTAGCGCATGGTCTAACAGGGTTGTGCTTAGTCTCTTAATCAGTTAATGAGGTTGTGTTTTGAGCATAACATGCATTAAGTCAGTTACATCACACCATGTTGCATTTGCTATTTACATGGCGGACTTTGGCTTAGCCAGAAAACAGTTAACCACTATCTGCAGAGAGAATAAAGAATGAGCCTCCTCCATTCGGCCTCTTTACTTTCTATTTACTTTACTTTTACTCTTTATACCTTTACTTTCTTGAATAAAGCAACGCTGAAGACATCCATTAGCCTACACATTTAATTTAGCTTGTTAAGCACAAAGATTTGTTTCAAAACTATTTCTAAATTCAGGTTTAATTTCCAGCAAATGAATAAATGAACAATAATAACGAAGTGTGGTCAAAAAACTGAGTTATATCCAAACACACGTCCTATTCTTATGCCCCATATGGTGATGCAGACGTTTCCAAAACCCAACAGCTGGACAAATCTAAACTTGTTTTTATTAAAACAAATATAAATATGCATATAATAAATAATGCTGCTAATAATAACAACATTATACTAATGCTAAATTGTCATGAATAAACTGAAGAAAAAAAAAACAGACATGAAGAAGACATGGATGCAGGGATTTTTATATTTATGTAGAAAATGATAATTTTTGTAACATTTTAATCCTTAAATTTTTTTTCATATGTAAAGATATCTGTGTATCCTGTGTGTTAGCAATGTGTAAGTGCATAGGCCACCTGCATAGGCGCATAACTAACATGCTCTGTGCTGGACTTTATACCTGCGTTCAGTTGGTCAATGGCGTGGTCTATTTTAGTTTCTCAGAATAGCAACGCGCCAACATTGCATCTTAAACTTAACACACCTCCTTTCTAGACCGGAACACTCATAAGTCCACAAAGTAGCACAAATGGATTTGCTATTTAAACAACGTCATGCAAAACGTAAAATTTACTGTTGCACTGGTCTGAAAATAAAAACAAACCACGCCAAACACATCTTGCACTTCATTGCGCTGGGTGTATGATACGCCCTTTTGTCATTTAGTATACCATCTTGTCCTAAGTGACTTACAATTGGGGAGGCATTCAGCGATTCACCAAGAAGATCAATACACACAAGAAGTGCTAATTATACAGTGTAACTATTAGTGCTCCGAGAATTAGGTGCGAGAGTAAGGAGTGATGTTTTTTTAATAGAAAGAAGAGTGTTTCTACAGGTGGTTTATCAGGCCCACTCACCTGTGTCAAGCACACTTCATAAATGCACAATGTTTTAATCAAAAACACACTGATTATTTGACAATGTCAACAGATCACTGAAACAGAGGAGTGTCTTCAGTTTGGTGCCGATCAGGCTGTTCCCATGGGTCTCGTCCAGCCTGCTTCTGCTGTCATCTATGACTATTACAGTCCAGGTCATCATCTGAACACTTTCATAAAAACACATCTGAGTTCTGAACCCTGACTAATGCTATTCAATGTGTCACAGAGAAGAGATGTGGCATTTTCTACACAGCGCCTCAGAAGAGCCCGATGATCTCCAAACTGTGTCAAGGAGACGTGTGTACATGTGCAGAAGGTGCGGAAAAGAAACTTTCTGCTGTGAAATTTCAAAGCCTAACATGAAGTGAAAACAAGAAATATCAAGTTAGAATTGTTAGCCCTCCTGAACTATTAGCCCCTTGTTAATTTTCCCCCCAGTCTCTGTTTAACAGAGAGAAGATTTCTAACACATTTTTAAACATAATAGTTTTAATAACTCATTTCTAATAACTGATTTATTTTATCTCTGCAATGATGACAGTAAATAATATTTGACAAGAAAAAAATTTTAAGACACTTCTATACAACTTAAAGTTACATTTAAAGGTTTAACTAGGATATATATATATATATATATATATATATATATATATATATATATATATATATATATATGTAGCTTAAAGGGGCTAAAATAATGACCTTAAAATGTTTTTTTAAAATTAAAACTGCTTTTATTGTAGCCAGAAAAAAACAAATCAGACTTTCTTTAGAAGGAAACATATTATAGGAAACACTGTGAAGAATTCTTTGCTCTGTTAAACATCATTTGGGAAATACTTTGCTCTTTTTCCAGGTGGTTGTGCGAAGCTGAAAGTTACCTTCAGCAAGAATATGGAATCCAACAGCAGGAGTAGTTTTGCTTGTTATGATCCCAGTGTTGACTATGGTGAGATGAAATAATCTAAAAATATGTCAGAGAAGTGTTTGTTCATATTTAATTGTGCTCTGATTTGTTTTGTTTTTTTGTTTTGTAGTTTATGTGATCAAAATTCTCAGCTCTAGAAGTGATGATGTTTTTATGTACTACACTACGCTAATCACTGATGTTCTGCAGACTGGTAGGACTGGTAAGTTTGGTAATATTTAGAATATTAGATTTTGAATCATTATATCCAGTGGGCATTTTCCCCTAAAATTAGCCTGTGTTCTGTTCATCTGGGTATGTGAAAATTAAATGCTTTGGTCAAAGTGTGAAATTATTTTGCAATGATTTAGGTCTCTTGTATGCTTGATTTTCCTTTAGGTCAGAATTTTGATTTTAAGTCAGAATTTTGCCTTTTTTCTTTTAAACTCTGACTTTAAATCTCAGCAATTCTGACCTTTGTGTTTTTTAATTCTGATTTTACATTTATTAATTGTGTCCTTTTTTCTTTGTGATCTGATTTTGTCTCTGAGGGTTTTTATTTTGATTTTACATCTTAGAATTCAGACTTTTTTCCTGCTCATTTCTGACTTTTTTTCTCTCTGAAGTCTACATTGGATAATTTTGACTTTTAACCCCTTTGAATTATGCTAGATCTCCCGATTCTGACTTTTTTTTATTCTGATTTCACACCTTAGAATTTGGATTTTTTTTCTTTTCTGTGTGGAGTTTGCATGTTCTCCCTGTGTTTGCATGGGTTTCATCCACAGTCAAAAGACATGCAATACAGGGGAATTTAATAAGCTTAATTGGCCGTTGATAATGTGTGTGAATGTAATAGTGTATGGATGTTTCCCAGTACTGGGTTGCAGCTGGAAGAGCATCCGCTGTGTAAAACATATGCTGGATAAGTTAGCAGTACATTCTGCTGTGGTGACACCTGATGAATAAAGGGACTAAGCCGACGGAAAATGAATGAGTCCTAATTTTATATCTCTCAATTCTAGCCTTTTTTTCTTTGAATTAGGATTTTCCATCTCACAATTAAGATTTTATCTCTGATTTTCCATCTCCCAATTCTCACTTTTTTCTTTTATTTCTGATCTCTGATTCTAAATCTCTCACATCTTCTCTAAATTCAGATTTTTACATTTAAAAAAGACTGAGATATAAGACTCCAAGACTCAAAAATCAGACTTTTTTTCTCATCTGAATTCTGATTTTCCATCAGACTTTTTTTTCAATTCGAATGATAATTTTAGATCTCACCATTCTGACCTTTTATATTTTGAATATAAAATTTAGAAATTTATCTCTACCTTTTTGTTCTTCTTTAAATTCTACTTTACTTTGAATTTTACATCTCCCAATTCAGATTTAGTTTTGTGCTAATTTTTATTTTACATTTCTTAATTCTGGTTCTTTTTTCTGATTTTACATCTCACAATGTAAAATTTTTCCCCTTTGCAATCTGACTTTGTTTTTGAACTGATTTTACATCTCACAATTCCAACCCTTTTTTCTCTGATATCTGACTCCATTTTTTAAAAATCATACTTTTTCCCTCTCTGATTTATGATTTTACATTGAACAGTTCTGACTGTTTTCCCTCTGAATCTAAATTTCCTACATTTATCAATTCTGACTTTTATCTTTGAGATGTAAAATCAGAATTCAAGAAAAAAAAGTTAGAATTGTGAGATTAAAATCACTGTTCTCACTTTTTTTCCCCTTTGAATTTAGATTTTTAAAACTCAGAATTCTGACTTTTGTCTCTAAACTCTTATTGTACATCTCTCAGTTCTGACCTTTTTTCCTCTGAATTATGATTTTAAAAAATCTATTTTTCCCCTCTCTGAATTATGATTTTACAATGAAAGGTTCTTACCCTTTTCCCTTACGAATTTATTATTATTTTACATCTCTCAATTCTGACTTTTATCTCTGATTTTTACCTCTCATAATTCTCACTTTTTTCTTTTTGAATTCTGGTTTTCATCTCAGATTTCCTACTTTTGTCTCTGATTTTACATCTCTCAACTACAACCTTTTTTCTGAATTTACATTTAACAATCGTACATTTTTCCCCTCTGAATTCTGATTTTATATTTGATAAATCAGACTTTTTTTTACCTTACTGAATTGTTGTTTTGCATTGAAAATTTCTGACTTTACATCTCACAATTCTGACGTTTTATTTTTTACAAATTTTAATTTACATCTTTCATTTCTGATTTTTCTTTGAACTCTGATTTTACATCTCTTAATGCTCCTTTTCCTTTGAATTCTGATTTTAAAGCTCAGAATTCTGACTTTTGTCTCTGAACTCTGATTTTACATCTCTCAAAAACCTTTTTTTCTTAATCTACATTTTAAAAATCTGATTTTTTCCCCTCTGAATTTTTATGTCTGATGATTCAGCCCTTTTCCCCCCTCTTTGAGTTCTGATTTTGCATTGAGAAGTTCAGAAAACTGGATATTAAATCTCACAATTCTCACTTTTTTCTGTTTAAATTTTGATTTTACATGTCAGAATTTTTACTTTTGTCCATTTTTTTGTTCACTTCACTCCAACATACTCATTTGTATGCCAAGATATTTGTTTACTGTACAATCAGCTGATACTAATGACAAAATAAACACATCGTCATCACCATCTCAGGATTTATTTGCTTTAACTGTTAACTGATTCCATTATCCCTCAAGTAGATGATTCTATAATGATCATGTAACTAAAGTATGACAATAATCCTATTTCTATTAAAGGTTTTGACTCTGAAATTCAGAAAGGTGAAACTCGTCAGATGATCCAACGTTTATCATGTGAGCTGGAGCTGAAAGATGAAGCCCAGTATCTGCTCATGGGCCATGACAGAGCAATCTCAGAGCAGAATAACAACAGACAACAGTAAGCCTTAAAATATGACCTTTATTATTATAAAGCATTCTGCATTAGTGAGTTTGAAACCATTTTTCATCTGTTCCTTCCCAAGAACCAAGTACATACTGAACAGTGACATGTGGATCGAGAAGATACCGGAAGAGAAGAGGTGCAAGTCGACCACAAGCCGCTCAGCCTGCTTTCTCCTTACTGAATTTATAAAGCAGCATCCCATTAAAGGCTGCGACATCTAGACGAGGTCATGCAGATGAGAAATAATCACACTGAACGTCTTTGTTTGGCTCTGTAAATCATGTGCTTTTATTTCTAGTGCATACTGACATAAAGAGACTCTTACAGTTGTTTGGTACATTGGAAAGTAAGCATTTCAGTTCAGTTTTTTTTGCATGTGTGTATTGGCAATACAGTAGATTCACATTACTCTTCATTCTGTTAGATAAAGGGAGAAATTTAGCTAAATGGAATACATTTTCATATAGTGACCACAGATTTCTGTCTTTATGACATGATCTTTTTATAGTATGATCTCCATGTTAAAACATGGGTACTTTTAAGGGGTTGTTTTAGGATGTGTTCACACTTGACAGGTTTGGTTTGATTAAAACAACAGCTCTGCGTCAGACAAACTACTGTACGTTTTGTTTTTAACCTATTCCAAACAAACTCAAATGTGGTTAGGCTGAAATATGAAAACAAAGATCTAAACAAATCAAAAACAGGATATGATGTCAGTCTGAAATGTACATACGGCAAGTGGATTTTGAATGTGTAACCGCAGAACAACATGCATCAAAAATGCCTTAAGGTTTAGTCCTAAAGGAACAGTTTGTGCAAAAATTAACATTTCCTTACCATTTACTAATGTTCAAAACTTGAACATTTCTTCTGTTTGATGACATGAAACAGAAGAAATGAATTTCATAAATTTCTTCTGTTTGATACAAAATAAGATGTTTTGAAACCGATAAAAAAAAGCAGCCATTAAAATCTATTCTAACCATATTATGGGCGTCAATGTCAAATATCGTGACATATCGCTTGTTTCCCAGAGATGGGTTGCTGCTGGAAGGGCATCCGCTGTGTAAAGATTTGCTGGATAAGTTTGCAGTTCATTCCACTGTGGCGACCCCAGATTAATAAAGGGACTAAGCTAAAAAGAAAATAAATGAATTTTCGCTTGTGTTGAACAGTTTAAAATAATTCAAACAGGTTTGGAACAAGTGGATGATTAGTAGTGGTGGGCAAAGAGAGGCTTCATGAAACACTGAAAATGTGTTGACTCTTCGAAACCCATTTCTACAGTGACACCTAGTGGTCATTTATTTATGTATCGCTTTGGAACCGCATCAGCAAAGAAACAAGTAAACAAATTAAGGTATTAACACGTTGTAGAGTTGAGGCTTCAAGTGGTTAAATTAAGCTGTGAGAGTTCCTGACTCGCATTCAGAGGTCATGGGTTGAATCCAGGGTGATGCAGCTGTAGATGATAGTTTTTAAATGCTCAGTTATCTTAAGGAGTTTTGTTTTAACGTTGGTCTGATATCCCAATGAATATAGGTCTTGTTTTGGTCAGAAAAAAGTAGCATTAGTAAAATACATTGTCATAATTTGAGTGTTTGTATAAGTCAGGATTTGAACAACTGAACAATTAAAGCACAGTTATTTTGTGTACACGCAAACTGTAGGCCACTAGGTTACATGAGATAGTTTTGTTTATTTTGACCCTGTCAGTCAAACGTGGATTTAACAGGTCTCAAAACGCCTCTGAAATGACATGCGTTAAATCATTTTAGTCACATAACTAGGTGTTTCGAAACACTTGAGTGTTTCAGATCATGATTGGAAGAACTTGCGCTTCAATCTCAAAACAGTTGAAACATCTGTTTCACGTCAGTCATCCCTAATAATTAGTAAATAATGACTAAGGACTACACCTTTAAAAGTGACAGTGTTGTGGACACAAAGTGAACCGGGACTACATGGATCGCAAGCAAACCAAACTACAAACGTGAACACATCCTTTAAAAAAACACAGATGCTACATATTCAAGAGTGCATTATTGCAGTTTAAGTACTATCTTTATAATGCTTCACATCTCCTGTAGTTTTACAATGTACAGTTTTATTACAGAATACTGTATTTAGTGGCTTAATCAACACTGGCTTTCTAGTTTGTAAAATCAAAACTTCATATAAAGTATAAACGCGCTCATGATCAAGGATTCATTGCTTTTTTTGTATTTAGCAGATAAACATCTGGGCCAAAAACGATCAAGCTGTCATTTCTAAAGCAGTAAATAAGATTTATTTTTCAATAGTTTCCCTACATTCATAAAAAACAAGCAATAATAATAATACCAAAACAAACAAAAACAGTAGTGAATGCTTCAATATTATGGTAAACCTGTACCCTGCAAATTGTTCTTTCACAAATTTGGCAGCTTGAAGGAACACTACACTTTTTTGGGGAAAATAGGCTCATTTTAGGAATCCATTCAGGCAATCTCTGGATCTGGCGAGAGCTCTATTAGCTTAGCTTAGCATAAATTATTGAATCAGATTAGACTATTAGCATCTCGCTCAAAAGTTTCTGATAGTTTTCCAGTTTGACTCTTCTGTAATTATATTGTGTACTAAGACCAGTTCTAGATTTGTAGTCTCATTGATCTAGAACAGTGTTTCCCGACCCTGTTCCTGAAGGCACAACAACAGTGCATATTTTGGATGTCTCCCTTACATGACCCCGTTCATTTCGGGTTTTGGAGTCTCTTCTAATATTCTGATGAGTTGATTCAGGTGCGTTTGATTAGGAAGAGGTTCAAAATCTGCTGGTGTGTCTTCAAGAACAGGGCTGGGAAACACTGATCTACAAAATATCAACTTTTCATTTTCTGTAGGCTTTTGTGCACAATGTGACTACAGAAAAGTGACGCTTTAAATAGCAAAATCATCAAAATTTTTATATATAAATCAATTGTAACTTGATTACCCTTCATTTTTATTCATATTTACACCAACTTGATATAATCTTCAAAGTTCATGTGCATATATTCAAAAAACATCACAACACATTTGCTTTTCCAACTCGTGAAGGCATCGAACTGCAGATAAACAAAACACTTCAACTTAGAAAAATAACCCGTACATTATACCGTCGTGTACAAAATTTAAAGCGTCACTCTTCTGTGGTTACATTGTGTACAAAAGCCTACAGAAAATGAAAAGTTGATATTTTCTAGATCAGTGTTTCCCAACCCTGTTCCTGAAGACACACCAACAGTACACTTTTTTTCAACCTCTTCCTAGTCAAACACACCTGAATCAACTCATCAGAACACTAGAAGAAACTCCAAAACCTGAAATGGTTCAGATAAGGGAGACATCCAATTTATGTACTGTTGGTGTACCTCCAGGAACAGGGTTGGGAAACACTGTTCTAACTCAATATAACTAGGAACATCACATTCATTTCGGCATAATGATCAAGTACTTTGTCGTCTTTGCTTTGATATTGATCTAGAAAATAGCAACCTTTCATGTTCCATTGGTCTTAGTCCACAATGTAACGAAAGAACAGTCAAACTTTAATCAGGAAAATCATCAAAACCTTTGTGAAACTTTTAAGATGCTAATGGTCTAATCGGATTCAATGATTTATGTTAAGCTAAGCTAAAAGTGCTCCAGATTGGCTGAATGCATTAAAAAATAGTAAAACTCAACTGTTCAACTCTAGATGACTTGTAAAATGAGCCTATATTCAAAAAAAAAAAAAAGAAAGTGAGATGTTCTCTTAAAATGCAGCAGTGACTATGTAACTTAATTTCATTTGTATTCTTATGTTTACCAGCTTGGTATAACAAATCATTTCCTTCCATGTTCATGTGCATATATTCAAATAACATCACAACACATTTGCTTTTCCAACTCGTGAAGGCATCGAACTGCAGATAAACAAAACACTTCAACTTAGAAAAATAACTCGTACATTATACCGTCGTGTACAAAATTTAAAGTGTCACTCTTCTGTGGTTACATTGTGTACAAAAGCCTACAGAAAATGAAAAGTTGATATTTTCTAGATCAGTGTTTCCCAACCCTGTTCCTGAAGACACACCAACAGTACACTTTTATTTAACCTCTTCCTAGTCAAACACACCTGAATCAACTCATCAGAACACTAGAAGAAACATCCAAAATATGTGCTGTTGGTGAGCCTCCAGCAACAGGGCTGGGAAACACTGTTCTAACTCAATGTGACTAGGAACTTTACTTTAATTTTGGCATAATAATCAAGTACTTTGTCGTCTTTGCTTTGATATTGATCAAGAAAATAGCAACTTTTCAGTTTCCATAGGTCTTAGTACACAATGTAACGAAAGAACAGTCAAGCTTTAATCAGGAAAATCATCAAAACCTTTTCGAAACTTTTGAGATGCTAATGGTCTAATCGGATTCAATGGTTTATGCTAAGCTAAGCTAAAAGTGCTCCAGATTGGCTGAATGGATTCAAAAAATTGTAAAACTTAACTGTTCAACTCTAGGTGACTTGTAAAATGAGCCTATATCTAAAATAAAAAGTAAAGTGATCCTTTAAAATGCAGCAAAGACTGTGTAACTTCATTTTATTTGTATTCATATTTTCACCAACTTGATATAACAAATCTTTCCTTTGATGTTCATGTGCATATATTAAAAACAAAAACAAAAATCACAACACATTTGCTTTTCCACCTCGTGATGGCATCGAACTGCAGATAAACAAAACACTTCAACTTAGAAAAATAACTGGTACATTATACCGTCGTGTACAAAATAAATAAACTTGCTTTTTAACCTTTTCAGCGTGAATAAAAAGCATGCGATATTTGAATTGTGCTGTTATGGCCAGCGATATGTAGGCATAGCTGTTCAAATCAGAGGCACGATGAACCTACAAGCAGATCTACTGAAGCACATTGACAGCTGGGTTTAGTTTAATATCGAGTTTAGCGCACTAAGAAATACAGCAAACCTCCAAAACCATATCGGCAAATCGATGGCGATCAAATTTACAGCGTATAATACAAATGCGTACACGTGTACAGCTAGTCAACGCACAAAAGGCCAGTTTAAAGTCAGATTTCTCTGTCCTCAGGGCATTCTTGAGCTGCTGCATCATGATTTGCCCCGAAAATAACTTATTTGTTCTCTGTGATTCTTAATAAATTGAACAGAGCTTAAATAGCTGCCCGCGACTCGCTTGGGTTCAATATACATTCATTTATATTGAGTTTGAAATGAGCGTTAATGCAGTTTGATAGAACACAGATGCGACGTTCATGAAGCCCTGGGTTTGTTCACGTTGGCGTATATGCGCAGAGACTGTATGTGCAAAAAGGAAAAGGTGAAATGCTAAAGAAGACTGGTGGAGTTTAGTGTGTTTATTTTTGTGAGTGTGTTACTGTAGGTATCGGTAGACTTTGAAGCAGTGGTTTCCAGAATCCGCCACAGCCACGTGACCGTCTGATGTCAGAGCCAATCCCTGCGGACCATACAGAGGATCCGCCGTCGTGTTGATGTATGACAGGAACGAGCCAGAGCTGTCAAACACCTAAAACAAAAGGGGGAAAAAATTTTGAATATATTTTTTAATAGGATAGTAATGATAAAATAGTATTGCATGGATTCATGTATTGAAGCACAGTGGTGTGCTAAAATGTAAAAAGGTCATCGTGACAGATTTTTTTCCTTAGAATTTTTTCATACAAACTACTGTCAATAAATAACATAAATGCAAAGATACAGATAATAATGCAAATGAAACAAATTTAGAATTGTGAGATGTAAACACAATTCCAAAAAATAGATGATAACTTTATTTTTATTTTTCTTCTCCGTAGCAGAAATGGGCTTTCATATAAGAAAAATGTAAAAAATGTTTGAAAAACGGTTTAATTTTTTTGTTTGATGCTGAAAATAAATAAATTAAATAATTATATATATATATATATATATATATATATATATATATATACACACACACACACATATACATATATATACATATATATAGTTTACCTTTAAAAACAATTTTAAAATAATGTTACTAGATAAAATAATAAAATTCAACTTGACTAAGTAACAGCAAAAATAGAAAAGAGCTAAAAATGAGATATAAAAAATAGAAAATATTTAATATATAATATCTACATCATAATAATATCAATTTTAATAAGATCCATATCAATAATTTTATAATAACTAAATATAATAATATTATAATAACTATAAATATATTATAAAATACAATAACAAATATAATAGGGCAAAGTAGCTAAATGTACTAAATGTAAAATGTCTCAGAAATGTTTCTTGTATTTTATTAAATCTTTAAGAAATATTTCCGTAATAAGACTAATTATTGAGCTGCACATTGTTGATCTCTTGTTCCACCACATCCCAAAGGTGCTCTATTGGATTGAGTTCTGCTGACTGTGGAGGCCATTTGAGTACAGTGAACTCATTGTCATGTTCAAGAAACCAGTGTGAGATGATTCACGTTTTATGACATTGTGCGTCATCCTGCTGGAAGTAGCCATCAGAAGATGAGTATACTGTGGTCATAAAGGGATGGACATGGTCAGCAACAATACTCCGGTAGGCTGTGGCATTGACACGATGCTCAGAGGGTATTAATGGTCCCAAAGTGTGTCAAGAATATATCCCCCACACCATTACACCACCACCACCACCAGCCTGAACCGTTGATACAATGCAGGATTGACAGGAGTAGCACCTAATGGGTCTTCTGCTGCTGTAACCCATCTGCCTCAAGGTTGGACGTGTTGTGCGTTCAGAGTTGCTCTTCTGCAGACCTCGGTTGTAGAGAGTGGTTATTTGAGTTACTGTTGCCTTTCTATCAGCTTGAACCAGTCTGGCCATTCTCTGACCTCTGGCATCAACAAGGCATTTGCGCCCACAGAACTGCCGCTCACTGGATATTCTCTTTTTTAGACCATTCTCTTTAAACCCTAGAGATGGTTGTGCGTGAAAATTCCAGCAGATCAGCAGTTTCTAAAATACTTAGACCAGCCCGTCTTGCACCGACAACCATGCTACGCTCAAATACACTTAAATCCCCTTTCTTCCCCATTCTGATGCTCAGTTTGAACCGCAGTAGATCGTCTTGACCATGTCTGCATGACTAAATGCACTGAGTTACCATGTGATTGGCTGATTAGAAATTTGAGTTAACGAGCAGTTGGACAGGTGTACCTAATAAAGTGGCCGGTGAGTGTATATTACAAATGCAATGGAATAAAAATGTAAACAAATATTTAGCATTAAATAGACCTAAAGTAACACTAAAACCTTATCCTAACCCTAAACCGAACCCTCACAGGGAACCTGCGGCAAATGATTAGAGTATAAAACACACTACGCCAATGTTCAAGTTTTTGTCATAAACAAAATAACAGAAAAATGAGCTCAAACTAAAACTGTTATAAATCATATTAAATCACCTGTATCCTGCTGTTCCCCCAGTCTGCCACAATAATATTCCCATTTCCGTCCACAGCCACACCGGTGGGAGCGTTGAACTGACCGTTCCCTTCGCCATGAGAGCCAAACTTAAAGAGAAACTCTCCATCGGCATTGTACACCTGCAGAAATAAATTCAAATATTTTCACAAACAATCCACAATAAATCCAGAGGGGGACAAAAAAGATGATGTGGCAGAAGTAATAAAAGCAGGCAGCAGATCTGGCTAATGTCAGATAATAGTATGTTATGTCATGTGGAAAAAGAGCTCGCCGTACCTTCACAGAATGATTGTGGAAATCTGTCACTACTATTTCATTCTTGTTGTTTATGGCCACAAAATGGGGACCTTAAAGCCATACAAGGAGAGAGAAAGGCAGACATTCAGAACATGTTATGTTTCTAAGGAAGTCTCAAAATAACTCGACCCATGAAGATTTTTCACAGAAGGTGAAAGTAAAAAAACATTAACTTGTAATTATTAGCACACTTCACCAGATGATTGGTTACAAAAAGAATTAAAAAATAGTGCATTTTTGCAATTTTGCATTACAACTTATCTAAAATGTTATGTGGAAATATGCAAATTAGGTAGCATTTCATTGAATATGCACATTTGTATTTTTAGATACAAAAATCTGAACATTAGATGAAGTCAGGTTCAAAATTCATGTTTGTTTTTTGACATAACAGAGTAAAGGGTTCTTGTTTTTTACAGAGGGGATTATGGGTATCTCATTTTTAGTACTCCACAATTCAGAAAATACTGCAAACAGCCTAAAAAAAAAGTCAAATAAAATTTATATAATCAGGCTAATTGTGTATGAAACAATCCTTCTGTAAACACCTTCAGAATGCAGATATTAATAAAACTGATGTTTGGTTCTCGTTCTAAGAAAATGGCCTATAAAATCTAGACACAAATGAATAAAGTGCAAAGTCGGATGCACTGAAATGAAAATTCTGAGCTGAAACCTTACCAAGAACTAAAATCATAACTGCTCTGTAGTAGCCTAATTAATAATTATTTAATGAAATAATAATATAAAGTAATTTTGTAAGAAGTTTTAAAGGGCACCTAGTTAACCACTTTTTTAAGATTTAATATTAATATTAAGTTTCTTCTGAGTGTGCCAGTTTAGCTACTCATATTTTTTATTATAATGTGTTAAAAAGTGTCATTTTGGGGGCGTGTACACAGGTCATTGTTTTAGGGGTGTGTTGTTTCACATAAAAACTTTCGACTTCCCGCCCAACTTAACAAGGGGGCGGAGCCAAGAGCTCCCTCACTTTGTGTTTGGCAACAACAGACAGGCGGACAGTGAGAAGCAACATGAGTGAGAGGACCAGCATTCAGCTGTACATATACGACTCGGACACAGACCAAGCAGAGACTACTGTTGAGGAATAAATATACCTAATGTGCCAGGATGTGTCAGAGTAGTAGTTACAAAATCATTTGTGTCTTTGTATAGTTTTACAGCCGATATGTAACGATGCATGTGTCATCCGTATAGGGATGCATTGATTAACTGGTTTTACTATTAACCACTCTTTAATTCATCGGTTAATTAATCATAAAGACTTCTCAACACCTTGTTTCTGCAAGGAAACAAAACTGCGGCAACTAAAAGTTATGCCAACTGTGTGCTACTTTAAAGTTCCGAGCTTATACACCAAGACTAATAATCACGCACACTGGATTAACTTTGACTATGGCTATAACTGTTATTTCCAATGGAGGCAAGTTTGTTATTTCCAATGGAGGGATGCACACGCGAGGCAACGCGCTCACACTTTCCAGTTGAGATGACAGGGAGCTACTGTGACTGCAGGAAATGCAAACGGCTGAAGTTTAAGGAAGACGCAATGAAAAGTACACAGGTTTGCAAAACCACCTTAAGTTTCAAACAATGGTGCCGATGAGAGCGATCATGTGGTGAATGTTGATCCACCAGCCGAGGTCAATCGAGTGTTTTCGGAGAGAGTGCTGAAAGACTCGATAAATCGGCTGTTTTTAATGGTGTAACATGAAATTAGCTCATTTTATGAATATTAATAATCAACAATAACGGTTTATTCTTAATTATTAATATTCCGGCTTAAGCTTCAGTCAGTTTGGTCAAACAAACATAAGATTGTAAATGATAATGCTCGCGCGACCGAGCGGATTCCCAGATTATGAATATTAATTATCAACAATAACGAATTATTATTAATAATTAATATTCCGGATCAATTTATTGTTAATTTGACCAAACGAACACAAGCAGAGCCGCCGCTCTTCCGAGCGGACACGGTAATCTATTCATTTAGAAAAAGGGAATTTAATTGCTACTTCTTGTGAAGTAGATTAATCATTCAAAAGTTTTAAACAACTTATAATAGCTAGGCAGGGGAATCTGTATTTCAGTGACATTTTCTCGTGAGGCAAACAATACAATTCATTTGATTATAAATGGAATTTATTGACTAGTCAGTCGTAACGAACAAACAAACGCACAAACATACATTAAACACAAAACAAAGGTAAACCACGTGGAGATATCGGGTCTAAAGAGCGTGTAACAACAAAGAGAAATAGTAAAGCGAGGAAATGGAGATTTCAGGTAAAAGAGTGACAAAACTTTCAGTTACACACGCACCATTACGGACCACCAAGGTTATAAAAAAACACCTTTTTGATAAAAGGGGCACAGCTTAATAGCATAACTAAAATCACCTGGTTTTTCATGTCTGGAGGTCTCTTTTATGCGTCTCTCTTCCGTCGTGATGAAAACTACTCTTGATGTCCTTTGATGCGTGGAGTTTGTAATGCAGTTCGGACGAACACGATCGCAAACTTTAAACTGAATTTACTTTGCCGGTAAATAAAGAAACGTGGCGGGAAAGTCCATGCGGCGTAGGAAAGCCGCATGGCCCGAAGGCCACCGACAATGATGTTCTTCTTAGGACGTTCTCTTTCTGCCCAGATGTTTGGGGGGAAGTGTGCTTATACCTGCGGGTCACGTGACAACCCGTACAGCATTCTGACCAATGATTTCAGGGGAAAGTTTGCGCGCGAACCTTCCTTTGTCTAGGGGCTGCTCGTATGCAAATTTGAGTGTCCGCCTAAAGCATGCGGACAGGCATCTAATACAGGGCTTTAAAGAATAAAGCCATGCGATTTATGGTCTTGCACTATGCATCATGTGTTGTAAAATGTCAGCAGAAACCCATCTGTACCAAACATGGGGGGGTTGAAAGTACATCAACATAATTTTTCATATCCTTACAATATTTATGCTTTACAAAGGCCTAAATGGAACATGCATACAGGTTATAAGAGAGGTTACACAGGTAAGAAAAGTCAGAAATGAGATACAAAGTTTACAAAACATAACACATTGGTTTTGTGCTGGTTCTGGATTTGATGAGTTCATTTTCATGAGTTCAATGTCTTTGAAGTTTTTCCTGCTTATCTCTCCAGCCCCCCTGAACAACTTAAGCTGTCACGAAAATCCAGACTTCTTGGAGCCTTCTGTGGACTGTACGCTACAATGGCCCGAATCTCTATACGTTGCATTTACGACGTGTTCAGCGCAAATGGCTGCTAAATGTAAAATCTCTGTTGCTCATTCGCAGGAAGACGATGAAGACTTTTGTGTTGAGCCCAATGAGCCTTACATCTAAAAATAGAGCAAGAGTGTTTCCTTGGTGACATCAATTTCACTCACACGCTGATAATGGCAGACGTGAAACAACAAACTGAGAATATGGTAATGCACGCCTATCAATCAATATTGGTGGGCGGGGGGACCGCACTCCTATGTCATGTTGCTGTCGGTCTCAAAACCGCTCCAATTAAAAAAAAAGGACTGGGTGTGTTTATATCAACCCAATGTGATGGTCTATGCACTATACCTACACACATCTGTCCAAACAACTTGAAAAGTACATTTTCCACCACAGGTGGTCTTTAAATTTAGATGTTTAAATTAAGCAAAGATGACAGAGTTCCTTGATTATCATGCCAAAATGAAAGAAGAGTTACTAGTCTTATTGAATTAGAACAGTGTTTCCCCAACCCTGTTCCTGCTAATAAAATTTGCAATGCTACAAATATTTTAAGCGATCTGAAGGGAAAACAAGGTTTACAGAAGCTGGAAATATATTTCCTTTGATCCATATATAAACACACATGTAAACTATCTATAAAATTACTGTTTAGTAAGACATGTTATACTCTCCTTGTTTATATTAACATGTGTGTAGATATCCAACTAAAATAAACCTGATTCATACATTTAAACTAGAGTTTTTTTTTCAAAAACATCCTGCCGCTATCAGCGCGCAATAAATCTTGGGACCTTCGAGGCCACGAAAGGATCTACCGGTTTTGTCCTTAGTTACTTGGGAATTGAAAGACTCATTTGGAGGCTGCGTTTGAAGGAGCCTTTAAATTCTTTTTAAATAGACCGCCTTCGTCACGACATAATACTTGGCATGCATACTGATTTTAGCGTACTATATAGTATGGAAGTATGCGATTTCGTGTTTTTGCAGTAGTGTATAGAGTGAACTACTCACTGAAGGCTGGGCCAGATTTGCTCTGTTTGGGCTCTGTTGGTGTATTTGGAGCACTTTTGTCTGGAGAAAAACAGAAAGTGGCACTGAAGCAAAAGGTGATCTGGCTCTGAGTTAAATGCTGAAGAAAATGTGAAAAAAAGAGGCATCACCTGCAAACTGCCTTTCTGATGTTCCTTTGGCACCGAATTTGGTGACGAGCTTTCCGTTGGACTGGAAGATGAAGACGCAGCAGGCCTTGTTGTCTGCAGTGATAATGTGGCCATTTTTGTCAACCGCCACTCCTTTAGGACCCATCAGACGACCTGCTCCAATTTTATTCTGACAGAGAGAAACACATTTGAGCAGCAGAAATCATAATGTCAATGTGAAAGATATTTATAAAAAAGCATCTATCAGCAAAAGCTCTAAGGCTTAAAAATACTCTTTAATTGCCTGTTCTAACTAACGGTTGACCATATTTTGACTGTTTTAAATAATGACTGTTAAAGTCATTTACAGAATGACTCTTTTAAATAATGGGTTACACACAGCGTTGTTGGTTTACAGGTGAATTAAACAAACATAATCCCGTTGCACTACTACACTTGATTTTGGTTATATTGGAATAAAAAAATAAGAAAACATGTTAAATAAGAAACTGAAATATTTTATTGCATACTTCAAAAAAGCTGATTTATTGTTCAAAAATTGTTTTATTTTAAATAAATTGGTCTTAAACTACATACTTTCAGATTTTTATAGTATATGTATTCATTCCGGTACTTTTACCATAAACCGATACATCTACTGTTCCATTTGGTATTTGCTATTTTAGAAATTACAGGATTCGTTAAAAACAAATGCATTGAGTGTGTTACCTAGCGACATTACGAGTTAAGAAATGCAATCCAATTTTTTTTTCTTGGTGGAGCAGTTAAAATGTTAATATTAATATCTCAAATTTTAATTACTTTAAAATTAAAATATGAGATTTTTATTATTTTTTTTATTTCTTTTGACTTTCCTAATTATATTTTACTGTCAAATGCTCCATCAACTTTTTTATAATCCATTTATTTATTATTAATTTACATTATCATTATAAACAGTGATACTAGTAATGATAATACTTTAAATATTTATTTCACATTCATAATAATTAAACGAGAATTTTTAAACTAATTTTACTCTTTAATTAATTTTTTTTCTCTTTCAATAATGTTTCTTTCTCCTTCAATAATGTCAATGATTTTAAATATAAACAGTATTTAAATCGTATTTCATTTCCCTGCTCGATATATACAGCATTCCTCTCTTTATTATGTTAACGTTTTATGTCAATTAATGTAGCTCACTTATCAATCGTTTATGGTCTAGAAAAGTCTAAAATATATATATAAGCCATATTTTTAATGCACTGAAAGTGTTAAATAATTAAAAGCAGATTCTTAAAATTTTGATTATAGATATATTTTTCATGTTTTTAAAAAAAAAAAATATTTTTTTTAACAAGGTGCCATTTATTAAATAAAGAAAATAGTAAATTGTTTGAAATTGTTAATTGATTGCAATTTTAAATAACTGCTTTTTATTGTATGTAGTTTTAAATTAAATTATTACTCCAGTCATTAATGCTTTTATTACTTTTACAATTAATATTAATATTAATAACAATAATAAAAATAAAATAATAATAATAATGATGATAATAATAATAATAATAATAATGATAAAAATAATAATAATTAAGATTAGAGTGATTTGTGAAGAATCATGTGACTTTGAAGACTGAAGCAATGAAGCTCATCATTAAAATCACTAGAATAAATTATCAAATTAAATTATACTTAAACTACTTTTAAACAGTTATTTTATAGATATGTACTGCATTTTTTTTTTTTTGATCCACTTTCTTTTCTACAATCCTTTCTTTGAATTAATTTTATAATTGTATATATATTTTTTTAATACATTCTTTATATATATATATATATATATATATATATATATATATATATATATACACACACACACACACACACACACACACACACACACACACACACACACACACACACACACACACACACACACACACACACACACACATTTTATTTTATACACACAATACAGTATTTAAAAATACTAGAGCTCACCTTGAATTTGCCATCTGGAGAGAAGATGCTGAGCCACCGGTTGTCATAATCGGCCACAATAATGTCTCCATTCATGTCCACTGCCACTCCAGTGGGACGCTGCAGCTGACCAGGAGAACGACCTCTGACCCCAAACTTTAGCTTAAACTGACCGTCATTGGAGAAAACCTGACACACATCAACAGATATGAGTGACTCAGAGCATGAGCGCACACTCACTCATGTGTTAATGTGTTGAGCATCACCTGAATGCACTGGTTGTTACTGTCTGCCACCACGATTCTGCCACTGCTGGTGGTGGAGATGCCCTGCAGATTAGAGAATTCACCACGCTCTCGTCCACGAGTCCCTTAAACATCACAACATCAACATCAAATAAGTAAATAAATATGAATAAATAAATAAATATGAAAAGGGAAAAATTATAAACACAAAGTAATAATTTGCATAATTTGTTTACCTTGCATTAAATTTATTTATTTATTTAATTAGTTTATACAAAATATATACTAATTCAAGGTCAAATTTTTTTGAATAATTTCACTGACTAATTAAAAGAATGGTAAATTAATAGATAATATTTCTTTATTTTGTATGTTTATGTGTACATTTAGATGTAGATTTTAATTTTAGATTTTTTATAATAAATAATAATAAAGTTCAAATGTTAAATTATATAAAATATAAAGAATAAATATAATAATTAATATAAGAAATGTTTTACAGTAAATGAATTTGTTAAATAAAAAGATTACATCTATTTTATTTTATAAATAATTTTTATAAAGTGGGCGACGCAGTGGCGCAGTAGGTAAGGCTGTTGCCTCAAAGCAAGAAGGTCGCTGGTTTGAGCCTCGGCTGGTTCAGTTGGCGTTTCTGTGTGGAGTTTGCATGTTCTCCCTGCATTCGCGGGGGGTTTCCTCCGGGTCCTCCGGTTTCCCCCACAGTCCAAAGACATGCAGTGCAGGAGAATTGGGTAAGCTAAATTGTCGTTAGTGTATGAGTGTGAATGAGTGTGTATGGATGTTTCCCAGAAATGGGTTGCAGCTGAAAGGGCATCCTGTGCGTAAAAACATATGCTGGGTAAGTTGGCAGTTCATTCCGCTATGGTGACCCCGGATTAATAAAGGGACTAAGCCGAAAGGAAAATGAATGAGTGAATGATTTTTATAAATATTTTGAAAAATTCTAAAAAATATATACATGAAATAAAGAATCGGACCAAAATCTACTTTATTGTAAACCTTCAAGATTAAGAAAATCTATATTTCAAATTGCAAACATTTATTTAAAAAAATTATTTTTAAAGTTGAATATTTATATATATTTAAAAAGGAATTGCAGGGGTGTAAAAAGGAATTCCTGGAGGGCCGATGCCCAGCACAGTTTAGTTCCAACCCTGCTTCAGCACACTGAAGTTGCGGTCACACTAAACTTTTCTCCCCATTAACTTCCATTCATACGCATGCGAATGCGTCAAGACGCCTTTCTACTGCACATGACAAACGACAAGCAACAGACCAGAAGTGATTCATTTCCAATGAACAGAAGCTGCGTGGAGCTCTGATCGTTTTTGTATGCAGACAATTCATATTGGATTTGAGTAGCGAAGTTTTTAAAATATTTGAACTACTGCGACTAGATCGTATGTGACCGGCCGGCTGGATGCGATGTATTCCAGGAATGTCCAAGCGTGCAAGATGAGAAATAGTACTTTTTTTCAGTCCATATTAAAAAAAAAAATTCTTTTCATAAATGAGTATTAAAAATAGGTAACACTTTACAATAAGGTTTATTAGTTAATGCATTTACTAACATGAACTAATCATGAACAACACGTGTACAGCATTTATTAATCATAATTGAACATTTACTAATGCATTATTAACATCCAAGTCCATGCTTGTTAACATTAGTTAATGCACCATGAGTTAACATGAACTAACAATGAACTACTGTATTTTCATTAGCTAACGTTAACTAACATGAACAAATACAGTAGTAAACAGTAGTAGTTACAGTTGTTGTTTGTTCATGTTACTAAATGGATTAAATAACATTAACTAATGAACCTTATTGTAAAGTGTGACCTAAAAGTATAATTTTTAATGTCGTCTCTACATTCCCTCCAAAATTATTAGCGGTCTATGAGTTTCTAGTATTTATTCGTTCAATCATAGTGAACGCACAGAGAATAATGGCTCTTGCTTTTGCCCTTCTTTATTTCAGAGACTGCCAGAATCCAGCTTCTCTCCCATGGTGCACAACAAAACTGAAAGTTCTGTGCGACTGCCACAAAGGGGGTGTATTTCGACACTTGTGTCCGAATGTCGTGTGCAGTGTAAAGGCAGCCTCAGACCGGAAATGTAAGCTCGTGCGACAAGTTTCAAAATTAAGGCTTAGTGAACTCTGACCTGCGAAATTGCATCAAGTGACTGGATGAGACCAATCGAAGATCAAAACAAGACCTCCCTGGACAGAAATTTACATTTTGGACCAATCACTTGCTTTTTTAAATGTCTAATCATCTTGTTTAATTCCGCCTCTTTTCGCAGCGTCGTATGACAGAATTTCACATGCACAAACTCTAGTGTGACTGAGTTTGTGTGACAAACAAGCCTCAAGAGCTCAATTAGTTTGATCAGGTGTGTTTAACTTGCGTTGGAAGTAAATTGTTCCGAGCTGCAGCCCTCCAGGAACTGAGTTTGTCACCTGTGACTTAAAGGGTGTCATAAGGCTACAATATCATCTGCCTGTCAGGACTGACCGACTCTGAAGATGAGCTCATCCTCGATGGGGTTCTCCTTCTTCTTGGTGGTGCTGTACATGCTGGAGGGTCTGCGGACCGCCTTCTGTCGCACATGTCCTCCAGCTCCTCCTCCTCCTCCAGGAGACTTGACTCTCCTCTTGACATCATCGGGTGACTGCGGGGCGTCGCAGGCTTTGACGGCTCTCAGACGGAAGGGGCTTCCTCTGACGTGTCTTCCGTAGAGCAGGACGGAGAAGGAGAACTCACCCTCGCTGCGCAGTGTGTAGCCGATCTCATATGTGCCGTTCTTATTGTCTGTGACGTCTGTTTCAGTGACGCCTCCGTCTGCACCGCTGATCTGAGCTCGCAGAGCTGCGTTTCCAGTCTTCACCAACTCACCATCTTTATCCTGAACAACAGAGATGGAGACTTGTGGCACAAAGCTAAATCTAGCAGCAGGATGACCCATTCTCAAGGGGAAAATTATTTCAAATATGATTTTCATAGATTAAACCAATATCGTGTTAGAAAATATTATAGTTTTAACTTAAATATTATTCAATGTCAAAAATTTTAATACTTAATGCTGACCTTTTGTCATTTTTTACGAAACAAATTAAGCATAAACAAAAATAAACAAATAAAATAAAAAAAATTAAAAATGATGTAAATTTATTTCACAATTATTATTTTATAATTTAGATTTTGCACTAATAAAAAGCTATTATTTTTAATTTTTTTTTAAATCATTTTACTAGTTATAACATTGTAACAATCTTGTTATACCTGCAAAAAATTGTCTAAAGAAAATGTAATATATAATTTAATTAAAAATCTATTTTATACTGTATATTTGCTTTAAAATTCTATTTTAATAAACAACTTAGCATTAAAATATGTTTCTTTATAATTCCTGCAAAATTACAATAAAATTAAAAAAATTTCTGACTGTAATGTTCTTAATTATCAGTAATACGACAACTTCTGGAAATTCTAGAATGTTCATAGAGTTGAGATCTGAAAGCTCTAGAATGTTTTAAGTTTTGAGTCCAGTTCTGAAAGCTCAAGGATTTATTTAGATTTTAGTTGTAAATCAAGTTTTGAAAGCTCTGGAATTTTTTTTTTTTCGGTTGTAAGTCAATTTCTGAAAGCTTTAGAATGTTCTTAGCTTTCAGTAGCAAGTTGAGTTCTGGAAATTCTAGAATGTTTTTAGCTTCCAGGTGTAAGTCAAGTTCTGAAAGCTCTAGAACTTTTTTTTTTTTAGTTGCAAGTCGACTTCTGAAACTAGAACTTTTGTATTTTCAGTTGTAAGTTTTGTTCTGAAATCTCTAGAACGTTCTAAGCTTTCAGTTGTAAGTAGAGTTCTGAAAGTTCTAGGATTTTCTTAGCTTTCATATGTACTGTAAGCTGAATTCTGAAAGTGTGGAATTGTCTTATTTTACATTTGTAAGACGAGTTCTGAAAGCTCTAGAATGTTCTGGGATTTAGTTGTGAGTCGAGTTCTGAAAGCTCTAGAATATTCTTAGTTTTCATTTGTAAGTCGAGTTCTGAAAGTTCTAGAATGTTCTTAGTTTTCATTTGTTAGTATAGTTCTGAAAGTTCTGAACTGACCTTGGTGGTGACAGTAACAGTGGTGTTCTGTCCTACAACAGCGTGTCGGAGTCCCTCTCCAGTAGCCACACTGGTGTGACCCACTGAACTGGTGGTGAGCAGGACGCCTAGGTTCTGTATAGAGCGTCGCAAGCCCTCGGTCTCCACCTGACAGTCCAGGTGTCCGTTCTCATGCGGCTGCTCAGGGAAAGCATGCCGGGCCAGAGCCCCCATCCGCTCGCCCATCTGTTTCTGCACTAGCAGTACTTCAGTGGGACTACCGTGGTTCAGCGCCTGCTCCGTGAAGCTGCAGCTGCTTTGGATGTTCTCCTTTCCCTGCATCAGAGCAGCCAGCTGACCCTGAAGAACCTGCAAAAACACTTTTTTTAAACAATCTGTATATAGTAACAGCAATTGTTGTTGTTCACAATGAGGTAATTTATTGTTTAATTTTTTGTGGTTTCTTTTTCTTTCAAAAATGTCTACAAGATTCATGATTTGTGCTGTTTGAATAATAAATTAAAATTACAAATTTTTTAAAACAATTTAAATAAAGCTAAAAACACATTTTTATATACAAATCTGTAAATAGTAGATTTTTTATATTATTTTCATCATTATTATTATTACAGAATATTACATGAAAAAATTTAATGATTCAAATCTGTAAACAGATGATTTATTTATTATTATTGTTTTATTATTAATATTATTTTATTTTAATCAAAATATAAAAACTGCTTTAATAAATGTCTTTTTTTTAAATCTTTAAATAGTTAAATATTTAAATAAATGACAGTAAAATATTTAATTAATTAATCTTCATTAGTAGTAGTAATAGTAATAGTAGTAGTGCAGAATATTACATTAAAAAATAAATATTATTTAAAAATCTGTAAATAGTAAAATAAAAGACAGTAAAATATTTAATTAATAATCTTTATTATTATTATTATTATTATTAGTAGTAGTAGTAGTAGTAGTAGTAGTAGTAGTAGTAGTAGTAGTAGTAGTAGTAGTAGTAGTAGTAGTAGTAGTGGTAGTGGTAGTGGTAGTGGTAGTAGTTGTACTAGTATTAAGTAGTAAATAGGATATTGCTTGCAAAAATTATAACAGTGCATTGGATGGAAGGTCCTCCAAAGGTGGCTCAGTGGATTTAGAGACTTAAACAGGTCTATGTAATGGAAAAAATGACTAAATGTCTAAAATGAAGACATATTTCATTTAAAGATATTTTTTTAAAGAGGTGGAAAAGTATTACAACATATTTATAGATGTACATTTAGAGGTTAATTAACATATCACTGAATCTGAGGTAACTGCAATGTAACAGAATGTAACTTTATGTACAAATGTATTCCATGAAAAGTATTTATGATGGCAGTGCTTTTTATTTATTTATTTTGTATAATTTTTCTTATTTTATTTTTATAATTGTTATACTATATTTATTATTATTTTCTCATCTGTAAGGGGTAAAATTGTAGGGCAAGTAGTTGTTCTGAAAAAAAAACATAAATTATTGAAAAATCTTAAATAAAAGTTATTTTTTATCTGTAAATAGTTGACTATTTATTTTAATGAATATTACATGAAAAATCCAAATAAAATGTCAATTTAAAAATAAAATTGATTTTTTTGTTTATTTCTTCAATTATTATATTTTGAAGTCACTATCAGGCAATTTATCGTACTGTAATTAAATTTTTTCCTTCAGAGGGTTATATTTGTTTCCTTGTTTGCTCTTAAAACTACATTAAAAAGTAGAAAATCAATGTTCCTGCTAAATAAACATTGTTACAGTTCATAAAGATAATGAGGGAATAATATTTACCATTTACTATTTTAAAAATGTATTATCTGTCTAGCAGCGGCAGGTTTCTAACCTTCTGCTTGGTGCTGCAGATGTTCTCCAGGTCAGTGATGAGGGTGGTCTTGCGCTGGTGCAGGGCTTTCTCCAGCTCCTCAAAGGTGTTGCTGATCTCTGTCACGGCCTCATTCTTGCGGTCTGTAAGCTGTTTGGAGATCTCATTCACCAGCTCGATGGCTGCCGTCAGCTGAGGAAGCCTGTAACACACAACCACAACAAACTCTCTGATTGATGATCTCTAAAAATCTCCATAAAGATGAAACTATTTTATTGTAGTTTATACATGCCATAATATGAATCGAAAGCACAAATTAACAAAAACACCCTTGAATCATAAACTAGAAGAAACTGTTAATTAACAGATATTAGTCACAGTGAACTTAAGACAAGACACTCCAGGTGAATATGGTAAAAAAAAAAAAACTAAGCTAATAGTTGTCCAAACTTTTTTAGCTGATTGGTTACAAAAGGAACACTCCACTTTTTTGGGGAAACATTTGCTCATTTAACAACTGCCCCATTTTAGAGTCCAATCAGATGATCTCTGTGTCTGGTGAGAGTACTTTTAGCTTAGCTTAGCATAAATCACTGAATTGAAATAGACTATTAGCATCTCGTTCAAAAAGGTTCAGATAATTTTCCTATTTAAAGCTTGACTCTTCAGTAGTTCAGTAATGTACAATGATATTACACAGATCTGATACCGAGTTGCTTAGCTGGGGACTAGTTACTTAATATTATTATGCCTGCTGCAACCATGGTACGGGGGCAACATTTCTGTATTATTATGTCAGAATGAGAGTTTAGATCCTGGCCATACAGTATGTGTGTAACTACAGAAGATTAAAACTTTAAATAGGAATTTTAAAAATATATATATTTTTAGCAAGATGCTAATGGTCTAATCTGATTCAATGATCTATGCTAAGATAAGCTAAAAATGCTCCTGCCAGACTTGAAGATCGGCTGAATAGATTTAATAGAAACAAAACTGTTTTTGACAAAACATGGAGTGTCCCTTTAGGAATTGCAGACATCATTTTGTATAAATCAATCCCTATTTGTGTGTGTGTGTGAGGGCTGATGAAGTGGAGATTTAAGTCTCATTCATTCATTCATTTTCTTATTATAGCTTAGTCCCTTTATTAATCTTGGGTCGTCACAGCGGAATGAACTGCCAACTTATCCAGCATATGTTTTACACAGCGGATTCCCTTCCAGCTGCAACCCATCTCTGGGAAACATCCTTACACACTTATTCACACTTATACACTACGGACAATTTAGCCCACCCAATTCACCTGTACTGCATGTCTTTGGGCTGTGGGGGAAACTGGAGCACCCGGAGGAAACCCACGCGAACGCAGGAAGAACATGCAAACTCTACATAGAAACGGCAACTGACCCAGCCGAGGCTTGAACCAGCGACCTTCTTGCCATGAGGCAACAGCACTACTTACTGCGCCACAGCGTTGCCAGATTTAAGACTCAGTATAGTAAAAAAATACTCATGTTCAAAAAGTGGTCTGGAAAAAAATCCCTGTAAATGAAATCTATAGACAAAAATGAAAAGTTTGACAAAAAAAGAGAGACAAAAGAAACAGAAAGTGTATTTTGGATGTTTGGTTTACATAAGAACAAAAAATACTTGATGAAAAACCAAAAAAGCCTTAATCTCAAAAATTAATAAGTGCATGAAAAAAGTTTTTGCCTGCAGTCCAACTGACTGGATGTCTAAGGAAAGAGTTAAGAATGAGCTGTAGCTCCTGGGCTCAGATTATCAGTGAGCTCGGTATTATTTTTGGCAGTGTGAACCTGTTTCGAATAGCATCCAGCTGGTTCTTCAGCGCCGCTTTGTGTTGCTCCAGAACATCCCGCAGTGGGACGGTCACATGTTCTCTGTGCTCCCCCTCAGTGCACTCCAAACACATGGCTGTTTCACAAGACTCGCAGTAAAACTCCATAACCTGCAGAGGGCGACAAAAACTTACTGAAAATAATGGACACATAAATAATTTTTATATTGAATCATTCCAAGTAAATAAACAGACAAATAAATAGATAGATTAACAAAGAAATGATTGCCTAAATAAATAAATAAATAAATTATAAAACATATAAAACATAAGCTTTTTCTGGTCACACACAGAAACACATGCTGTCAAATGTTTAAATCGCATGCAAAATAAAAGTCTTTTTTCCATAATATATGTGTGTACAATTCTTATTAATTATGTACATATAAATACAAACCTTTACAATGTGTGCATCTATATGTATACATTGCTCAGCATAATTGAGTAGACCCCATTTTAAAATTGAATACTTTTATCCACTTCTTAGTGAATATTCGCAATGTATTTTGGTGCATTTAAACAAAACAGATTTATTAAACAGATATATTTATTAAAATAGTATTTTAGTCACAGAACATCTTTAGAAATGGAAAAATAATACAATTAAATTCATGCAAAATGTTACAAAAAAAATTTACAAATTACAACATTTGAACAAAATAGTAAATATTTTTAGTTTCTCTTGATTTTTGCTAATTTAAAAAAAAAATTGTATTTAATATTTTCCCCTAACATATAAATTTGGGCTACTAATTTTTGAACCATTATTGTAAGTTATGTTGTTAGATTAGCTTCAGTACTGACTAAACTAATGTATATGCACAAATATAATATTGCAAAAAATTCTATAAAAATTTTTTTTAATTTAAATGAGAGATTTGAAGGGGGTGTACGCATATATGCTGAGAACTGTACTGTACCGTATATAATAAATTTGTATGTAAATCCAGTCTATATTTAGAAAATATTTATGTACATTCATTTATTTACATTCTTATCTAACATATGATCTATTATTATATTTAATTTTCTTAAATATATTCTTGCATGTATTTGCATTTATTTATACACATAATAAATATACACAGGGTACACACATATTATGTAAACAAAACTGTAATTTTGGATGCAATTAATCACAATGAATCATTTGTGATTAAGCACTACAATTATTAAGCACTATTATATATTTTTTATTGCACAAAAATAAATGATACTTAATGATAATGGTACTTGAGTTTAAAACTAAAAAGTAAATCTAAATTATAAGGCAATGCTTTATGTTTTATTAAAATAGAATTACTAAAATAAGAACTCGCTTGTGCTACAAATTAGCTTGCTTCTGTTACATAAAACTACAAATTATAACACTACCCAATTTAAATCTGCAAATGTCCCATTAATATCTTTCTACAGTATTCAGTTCTGTACTGAAGTATATTTTTCTGTACTGTACTGAATATTTAGTACACAGGAGGATCAGTCCTGCTCTCATCATCAGTACTGTCCCATCAGTAATATGTGTCTGTGCTTACCTTGCCCTCATGGTTTGGGCAGGACAGTGGCGGAGCGTATGTAGCCGCTCCAGCCGACTCCAGCCCACTAGATGCTTCAGAACGGGTGCAGTCCTGCTCTCTCTGCAACACCTCCATCAGATTAGTTATGAAGAAATTATTCTGCAGCGCTGCTACACCCTTCTCCGGCAGAATGGAGGTCTGTCGGCACACGGGGCAGGACAGGGTCAAAGACTGAGGTGGGATGTAGTTCTGGAGGCATCTGAAAAACAAGCACAAGTTCAAGTTGAATGAAAATGCACTCAGAAATACTTAAAGGTGCATTATTTAGCAAATGATGTACATTTTTTTAGATGGCAAAAAAAGACCGCCATAAAACAACAAGACCTCTCCCCTTTTAAATATTGTAACTAGACACGCCCCTTACTACTGATTGGCTGAAAGAGTTTTTGGACACTGTTTTTTTAAATGTTGCTTAGTGAACCTTCAAGGTGAGACAGTGCAGGTAGGCCTGTCACACACAAAAAAACAACATTATTCTCATTTTAAGATTGCTTTATGCCACTATAATGTTTATATAGCAGAATAAGAACGCAAATTAGGACAACAACTATTCATTCTAAATGTTATTTAAATGAACTAATTTAAATATTTACAATGGTGATGTAGAATTTCAATGTTCCTGTAAAATGGCTAAAAATAAATGCAGCTTTGAAACAGCTCATTTGGACAACTTTTTTTCCCAAACCATCAGTAGTTTTTAGGAAAATGTAAATATGTACTTTTCTTCAGCTGTCAGGGATTTTTATGTTAACATGATGGGTGATGCATATTGCGTCATCAAAATGCATTGAGGTCATGTACATGTATTCAGCTGCAATACGTCGATATATTGATTATTGTGACAGACCTGACTGCAGCCAAACAGCTTTTTTCTTGTAGCTGTTATTAAAAAAAGTATTTTTTCGTTTTTTTATTTTCAGTCCAGTAATTCAGTAAAGAAGTGGTTTTCTAAAATGAAGTTTAAATCTCACAGCTGTATTCATATCTATATTCTGAAGGTTTCACAGACATTCTGTTTATCTGTTTGTATATAATTTGCCATATTATATATAACATTTGTGTGTGTGTGTGTGTGTGTGTGTGTGTGTGTGTATATATATATATATATACAGTATATATATATATATATATATATATATATATATATATATATATATATATATATATATATGGATTATTACCTCTGGTTGTTCAAGCTACAGTCACATACAGTACTTTTATTTTTTATTTCAAATGGGTTTAATACATGGGACATCAAACTACAATATTCATTTTATAAATTATAATTTAAGGTTATTGCTAACTATTACTAACCCAATAAACACTTCCCTCCCTCAGCCACCTCTCAGATCCCATAGGAGATAGAAAAGAAGAGAAAAACAGTGGTCAAAATAATGTAAAACAAAATAAAAGGGAAATTAAAGAAATACGGTGGTCAAAATAAATTACAATAAAAACAAAGCAAAGCAAAACAAAGCAAAGCATATGGAATACGAAATCTGCAAAAACTATAAATAAATGAATAAATAAATACGCAAATAAATAAATGAGTAAGTAAATTCAAAATTCCTGGGGAAATAAAATAATAATAAATAAATAAATATGCAAATATATAAATAATTGAGTAAATAAAGCTGTATATTCCTGCATAAATAATTCATAAATAAATAAATTTGTAAATATATAAATAAATGAGTAAATAAAGCCATCTATTTCAGCATAAAAAAGAATTAATAATTAATTAATTAACATGCAAAAAATATAAATAAATGAGTAAATAAAGCCATCTATACCTGCATAAAAATTAATTAATTAATTATTATGCAAATATATAAATAAATGAATAAATAAAGCCATCAATTGCCACATAAAAAAGAATTAATAATTAATTAATTAACATGCAAATATATAAATAAATGAGTAAATAAAGTTGTATATTTCTGCATAAAAAATAATTATTAAATAAAAATGCAAATAAATAAATAAATGCATATAAAAATCCACAAATTCCTGCATAAAAAAGTAATTAATATGACAGGCACGTAAATAATTAAATACATTACACGGATGTTTGGGGAATAAGAATGCTGAAATTAATGTTTATTCCCACATCCCCAACCCCAATACATTTATTTATTTTATTGCATATCTTTTTATATATTTATGCAGGAATCTGTGGATTTCAATATACATTTATTTATTTGCATATTCATTTATTTATTGTTTTATTTATGCAGGAATTTATTAATTTATTTACTCATTTATTTATTTATTTGTGTATTTATACATTGTTTTTGCAGGTGTTGTCCACCATACAAAACCTGCAAAAACAATGAATGAATAAATAAATAAATACCCATAAATAAATTAATAAATGAGTAAATAAATCAATAACTTCCTGCATAAATAAAACAAATAATATGCAATTTATTTATTTAATATTTTATACATGCAGGAATTTATGGATTTATTTACTCAATTATTTTATTTATTTGTGTATTTATTTATTTAGTATTTTATTAATGCAAGAATTTATGGATTTTTTTGTCATTTATTAATAAATTTGCATATTTATTTATTTATTTATTCATTTATTTATTATTTTATTTATGCAGGAGTTTATGGATTTATTTATTCATTTATTTATTTATTTGCGTATTTATTTATTTACAGTTTTTGCAAGTTTGCAAAAAAGGGGTCTCTAAATAAAAAATAAACTTATAAATGCTCAATATAAGTATGCCTTGACTTAATTAGTTTTTTAAAGCGGTTTGTTATCAAAAATAATTCCTTTTGCAAAAACACAGAGAAAGTTTTGAAAGCCAGATTAAGATTCAAAATCTGTCCAAAGTGGATGAAAACATCCCCAACAGCACACAAGGGTTAAAAGTCAAGCTAGTTACTTCCTCGAGGACAGCCAGATTGCAGTTATTTCACCAGCACACCACTAAGTGTCAAAGCTCTGGTGTTTTGGGCGTTATTTAGCGAATTTCTTCCACCCCAGTGAACTTAGCCAGTCTTAAGCACATCCTAAAAGACACACTCAGTTTACTGTACCTCTCGCAGAAGGTATGCAGGCAGGGCAGGACTTTAGGATTGTGGTAGTGCTCCAGACAGATGCTGCACACCAGGAACTGCTTGTCAATCTGACGCACCACTGGACTGGTGCTGCCGCTCTCCCGCTTCGCCATCGTGAGAGGCATTCAAATCAAGAGACTGAGGCCTTGCACACTGTCAGAAAGTGAGAGAGAGTCAATTAATCTTTAAATAAAGCTGCAGATCTGCACTCATTGTTAGACTTGCTGTGATTTACAGTTATTTATTTTTAAAAAACGGCCGGTAAAATATCACATACATACTTAATGGTTCACTGCTGTAAAATGGGTCATTGTGGGTCATTTTAAAACTTTTGTGCAATTCTAAAGTTATGGATGTGACATTTGCAGAAAAAACTTAAAGAATGTATATGTTAACAGAATATTGAAACATCCGTTTATATTTTCCTAATCAACTAACCACAAAGTTAAGGAATTACAAAAATATCAATCTGTAAACGTTTTATATTTTAAATGAGGAGAAACTTGTTATGGATGTGACTGAAAAGGTATGCGAGTTTACAGTGTGCAACATACTTTGTAGATGTTGCATGAATTAAACTGCGCAACCCAAAAGAAATGATACTAATCAAAAATATAGAAGTTGGCTTTCTATAGGACAAAAAGGATTTATTTTATGTAATATTACATGTTTACATTTATGAGGAAAAGGTTTTTGTTATAGATATGACGTTTCTCCGTTATGGATGTGACAGTTGTCAAATTGGCACTTGTGTGACTTTGGTAAATTAAATTAAATTGTAATTTTACTTAGAGCTGCACAATTAATCATAAAAAAAGATCGCAATCTCGATTCAACCCCCTAGGATAGATGATCTTAATCCATCAGTTCTACGATTCTGCCAATCATATTTTTAAGGTCAGGAGAGAAGAAAATTCATCCGCACATGTTTACACGTTGTTTTACATACATTGCTCAGCAATGCGAACACCTCCAAATGTTGAATGAGTCACATACTGTATTTATAAGGTATAAATCACCCAAAAATTTTGGGTTCATGTAATGATGTATTCAAGGCCGCGAAAATCACAAGTGACGTGAGCTGACTGTGAGCTGTTACCACAGAGAGGTACCTGTGAATTAAGTCTACTTTAGAGAACAGAACTTGCATAGGCTGTGAATAACAGGTAATAAAGTTGTAAATAACATTCATACAGTTTTTGGCACAGAGTGATCGTTTGGGAGCCGCGCGAGAAGCATGAACCGCACTTGGCAATGAAAATGAAATGGAAAGTGCACACATAATTTAAATGATCGTATCACTTTTTAAATAATGATTACGACAAGCATTTAGGACGTTTTTCTTTCATAGCGAACACAGAGTGTGTCAGTATAACTACGCTAGACTATATGATGTTGAATATAATGTAAGAGGAAATCTGTTAATGATGAATGTCTGATTTTACCAGTAGAAAAAAATGGTCTAATAATGCTTTCTCAAACATAATAATTCTAACTAAGTCTATTAAAAATTGAGCATTTTAACCAACAATAGACCTACATATTATATTATTGTTGTCTGCCATATGTTTGACAAATACAAATATTAATAGCCCACTCGTTAACCTTTATTTTACATCTACAGAATCGTGAGAAATCGTGATCTTTATTTTAAGCAAAAGAATCGCGATTCTCATTTTAGCCAGAATCGTGTAGCTCTAATTTTGCTGTAAAATGAAATCACGGTAGGGCCCTGCTACTGTAAAACACATTTACAGGTAAATTACTGTAAAGGGGAAATGCTGCCAGCAAGTCACTGCAAATATTCAATAAAATGTTTTCCATAAAAAACTCTTTCCATACTTATCATGTTTACTTTTGTATTTACTGCGTATGTATACCATGTATAAACAGTATATGTCCAGGATAGAAAGATTTTTGCAGGTATTACATTTACATTTGCATACAGTCTAGTAATTTAGCAGATGCTTATGTCCAAAGCAACTTTTAGGAGGAGGGGGGGGGGTTGGGGGGGTGGGGGGGGTTATATAGAGAGGTTTTTAAACTGTTGTTTTGACCAAATGTTTTATTTTCTAAAGTGGACAGTAGCATTTAAAAATATTTCTTATATTAATGCAAATACCAAAATGGGACGCCATGCAATGAAAAAGCTATGAATTAATCATCTATATTTGAACCAATCCTTCAAAAATTAATTCTGGATGCAATGAAATTAAATTCTGACAAATGAAATACCAACAATCAAGACTGCATGATTATATGGTGTAATGGCTTTGCAATCGAAAAATATCATTACAATGGAAGTCAATGGGGGAAAAACAGCAACTAACATCATTTAAAAAGGTAGTAAATATGCTTAGAGTGCCTTTGCTTAGAGTGTCAAAGGATTTTCCCAAAAATGTGTGGAAATAAGATTTGTCACAAAAATCCTTCCATTTGCCGAAACACAGAGAAAGTTGTGACCAAATTATACTCAAAATCAGCCCAGAGTAGATGAAAACAGAACAACAGAACAGAACACAACAGAACACAAGGGTGAAACACAAGCTTTCGCAGTCAGCCATATCCATGACACACATCCATGTCAACATCTGTCTGCTAGGATTAACCCCGTTCTCTCCATCAGCCACAACATGTTATTGTTCCGTAACAATGAATGTACAAACAGCAGCCATTTATCACTCAAAAACACGTGAAATGCCATTTCAGCCAAAACATAACAGCCTTTCTGTTATTCTGTCAGTCAGTCTGTCTGTCTGTCTATCTGTAGAAGCACATGCTTTTGTTTGCAATTATGGTATCCATGCGTTTCCTCGTCTGCCAGGATTTTCCAGCTTCTGATTCCCTGTAGTCAGTTTGGGATTAGAGTGTAAACATTTTGTCTTCTGAAAGTATGACTTTTAAATTCCGTGTTGAAACACAAGCCACATGACAGCACTTCCTCTTAGATGGCAAACATGGACAGCTGAAGAAACACTGTAACTGTACCTGTAATAACCGTGCAAATCAAAGGGTAGGTCTGTCCATGTAATGTCACAGAGACTGGTAGAATCAATTCAGGTCAATTCAGGGTTACTGTAACTGAAACTATAAACTTAAACCATAAGGTATTTACCTAAAGTAAAATTAATTAGCTGGCGCAGAATTAGTTGGCACAGAAACAAAAATTATTGTGGAAAACACTATGCAAATAAGCTTGCATTTAATTGAATTATGTCTCATTTACATTTAGTTTAATATTGTATGATATAGAGGTGCACGATTTTAAGCAAATAAAAATTATAATCACAATTTTTTTTTGCCTAAAATAAAGATCACGATTTTTCTCACAATTTTGTAGATATAAAATAAAGGTTAATAAGTGGGCTATTATTGTTGTTATTCTCAATTAGTGGTAAAACAGCAATAGGGCTGTGTAGCTGTACTGTTGGTTAAAATGCTAAATTTTGTATAGACTTGGAATGGTGGACTTGAACAGACTTTAGATTTGTCCTGGTCATTAATGCTGATGATAATTCTGATGTTGATTTATTGTGTTTGAGACATATGCTTACTTAATTTTCTGCTTAAATCTGTCACTGACGTGATTTCCGTGAATACAGAAGACTGGGTGGGTATTTTTGCATTTCAGACTGATTCGGCTGGAATTAGGACTATGCGCTTTAAGTTTCATTTTCACTGCTAAAAGCGGTTCACTTCCCGCGAGGCTCCCAAACAATCACTTTGTGCCACAAACTGAATGTTATTTACAACTTTATTACCTGTTATTCACAGCCAATGCAAGTTCTGTTCACTAACGTAGACTTTATTCAGAGGCGCACGCGCCCGCCCTCTCTGTGGTAACAGCTGTCAGTCAGCTCACGTCACGTGTGATTTTGCAGTTGCAAATACATTTCATGAAGACAGAAATGACATTTTTGAGGTGAATTATATCTTATAAATACAGCATGTGACTCTTTCAACACCATTTGGAGGTGTCCACGTTGCTGAACAACGTACGTATGTAAAACAATGTGACTTGAGATCGTCTAGGGGGTCGAATCGAGATTGCGATCTTTTTACGATGAATTGTGCAGCTGTATAAACTGTAGATAGATAGATAGATAGATAGATAGATAGATAGATAGATAGATAGATAGATAGATAGATAGATAGACAGATAGATAGATAGATAGATAGATAGATAGATAGATAGATAGATAGATAGATAGATAGATAGATAGATAGATAGATAGATAGATAGATAGATAGATAGATAGATAGATAGATAGATAGATAGATAATATATGCAACACAAAAAAATAAATATTTTACATAAAATTACTAAAATTAGCTCGCTCTAATCATCATATATAGACCCCTATTGGCATTGACTTTGTCAATTTTCTAAAATAGTTTTATGATTTTATTTCTGACTTACAAGTTATAGTTATAGTTGATACTAATTGTAGGAGAATGCCCACATCCACATAGATGACACTAATAATACATTAGGGCTCGCGTTTACAAATTTATTATAATCACTTAGGATAAAGCAAAGCTTTGTTGGTCCAAGGCATTGCTTAAAGCAGGGGTGTCCAAACTACGGCCCGCGGGCCGCAGATCAGTTTTGTGGCAGCCTGCGAGGCTTTTTAGGAATATTAACAGAATCTGGCCCGCTATACAAAAATGAACGTAATTCAATAAATAACCACCGGGTGTGAAGGCTATTACATGCCTTCAATTAGGCAGCAGTTCTTGTTATGAAGTAAAACGAACCGAACAAACTGAAAGAAACATAATTCATAATCACGTTTTGGCAAGCCATGGCACAAGCAAGAAAAAGGAAAATCAACAGTGAGTGCAGGAAATTTCAGTCACGATGGGGCAAAGAATATTTCTTCACAGAGGTCAGTGGAATATGTGTCTGTTTAATTTGCCAGGAATCAATTGCAGTAATAAAGGAATATAATATTAAAAGACATTATAAAATAAAACATCAGGCCCTCAGCTCTTACACTGGTGCCGAACGAGATCAAAAAGTAAAACAAATAGCAGCTGGCTTATCAGCTCAACAACAGCAGTTTTTTTTTGTGCTAATAAAGTGCAAGAAAATTCTACGCTGACTAGTTATGATGTAGCCCAGCTAATCGCTCAGCACAGGAAACCTTCAC